ACGACATTAGTGTCTACCATTAGACACAAGCGTCTAAAATGGACTCTAGGGTCCAAAATCGGAAACTAGTGTCTAAAATCGAATTCTTGTGTCCATATCCGGTCACTAATGTTAAAGATTGGACATTAGTGTCTAAAATCGGACACCAATGTCCAAAATCAGACAGGAGTGTTTAGAATCGGACTTTTGTGTCTAAATTTAGACAATATTGTAATACAAGTGTCCAAAATCAGACCCTAGAGTCTAAAATTGGACACTGGTGTGTATTTTCGGACAATGATGTTGAAAATCGGTCATTAGCGTCAGTCAGACACAAGTGTCTTTCATTGCACAACAGTAACTATAATCGGACGCTAGAGTCTAAAATCAGTCACTAGTGTTTAAAATTGAACAATTTCTTCCAAAATTGGGCGATGGAGTGAATGAAATCAGACACTAACGTCCAAAATCGGACTCTTGTGTCTGAAATAGAACACTGGTATCTAAAATTGAACAGTTTTGTCCAAAATCGGACACTAGTGTCTAAATTAGAACACAAGTAAAAATAATTCGATACCAGTGTATAAAATCGGACTTTAGAGGGTAAAATCGAACAATAGTGTGCAAAATCGGTCACTCGTTTTCAAGGTCAGACACTTGTGTCTATAATTGAGCACTACTCTCTAAAAAACAGACACCAGTGTTTGATATCAGACTCCAGCATCCAAAATCGGACAGGAGTGTTCAAAATTGGACACTAGTGCCTAAACTCAGACAATGGTGTCTAAATGCACACCAGTGTCTCAAATCGGTTAGCAGTGACTAAAACTGGACATTAGTGTCTAAAAACGAACACTGGTGTCGGACACTGGCGTCTCAGATTGGTCACTAGTATCTAAAATCGGACATTAGTGTCCAAAATAGAACATTCGTGTTTAAAATCGGACATATTAGTTTGGTTAGGTTGGGAAACACAAATGAGATAATAATAAATCAAAAACGAATAAGGATGACTAAGGATGGAGAAGATTGACGAGGATTTTGAACGATAAATTTGTAAATCAAAGTTAATATTATAAGATGCAAAAATTGAGACAAATTGAGACGTATATCTTGTAGAAATCCTAGTAGAGGCACAGTGGTCTAATGGTCAGTGCATTGACCTCCGCGTCGAGAGGCTCGGGTCCAAAACCTGGCCGGGCTTTTTGTTCTTAGGCAAAACACTACTCTCACAGTGCCTGGGCACACTTAATTTGGAGCCTCGCTCTGTTGTGTGTCCTGAACCTTCATGGTAAAAGCGAATAAAAAAAAAAAAAAAAGTCTCTTTCCCACTTGTTTCCAAATCATACCTAGGAAGGAGGTTGTCTTTCAACCATAACTATTGTGTAGTCAATTTGTTTGAAACTTGATCAATTACATAATGATAATAATAGTAAATATATAACAATGATAAATGAGGTAACAAGAAATAGAATTTTTCACCAACAAACCAACATGCGGGCTTATGGCATTGGAAAATTTCCTTCCAGAAGCAGAAAAGGAGAGTGAGTCCTTTATCAGCTTTGTCTACTGACTGAGCGAAAATAGTTTGTCTCGCTTGGTGCGGCGTCTTAATTCCTTTTTCCAAGACGCCTTCTTCCCTTGACCGGCCGACAAGGGTAAAGAAGACTCTGTGGACGATATTTGTCTCACAAGAGAGGGCTGACTCTGATAATGAAATTTGACTCTGATGATGACTTCCGCTCAGGGTATCGATATCTTCTAAGGACTACGCTCACCCGGACGATCAAACCAATAGACACTATTACAAGTTACTCCCGGGTTCAAACCATTCGCTATAGAGCTGAAGATGTTTTTATTTGTCACACTATTGTTCCTAGGACATAAAACATACAGGTTTCTCTGAATTTTAGCAATTGAAATACAACTCTCAATTTTTCTGCCGCTGCTAAGCTTTCAAGGACGAATTGTGATGTTCAAAATATGTCTTTGGTAATGTTACCTACAGCGGAAAACCTCTCCGTCTACGAATTCAGTTTCCAAAGCTCCTACATGTAAAGTAGAGCTAACGCAGCGGTAAAACGTCTGTGCGCATGCGAACGTTATAATGACTGAGTGGTATGCTTTCAGGCTTTCAGAACCAAATTATCTTACACGAGTTCCAAACAACCTCATAAGCCAGCAATTCACCATGTTTTAAAAGTGTATAACTTTCTTAATAAAGCTCAAAACAGAATGGTAATTAATAATTGAATAACCTTTTGGTTCAAAAAGTTTCGAGTTTTCCTTTACCCCGGTTTTGTTTCCTTTTATACAGTTATCTATGAATGTTTCAATTATCTTTCGCTTACTTTACGAGACAGCGGCGATTGTTTGTTACGTTTTCCTTTGAAATTTTGCGCGGGAAATTAGTGCGCGGGCGGCCAAAATTAAACGCATGACCTACCTACGTTTGACCGCTGTGTTGCGTTGTTGTGGGTTCATGGGCTGGCACGCGAAATTTCGTAACACATGCTAACAATTCAAAGGGACAAATGCAAAGGACTAAGGAAGGACTGAGCCAGGAAAGAGTGACTCTTAAGCATTGCCCTTTGTCAGACTCAGACCAAACATCGTTGAATTCATGCGATAACATTGACTTCCGCTCAGGTTTTCGAAACGTCAGTCACCGCTTTCGACAACAGTCCCTCCCAGGACCATTCTCCTGCGGACGATCAAACTGCACGATCCATATGTAACAGTTAATTATATCAGATTAAAGTCTTTGAGTAAGAAAGGGTCATTTTCACACTGAAATGCAACCTCTCCAATTGAATAAAAGCTCAACAAAAGTGCTTGCATCTCAGCTGGTGACAAATTAAAACTAAATGAAAATCCTGTCCCTGAACTCGAAGTTCATTGTTTGAAACTAAGCGCAAGATTAACGAATAGATCACGCGATTAATAATCAGACCAACTTTAAAACGCAATTGATCTTTTGTTTTATGTCAAGATATCAATTTTTCTTTCAAATAACAAGAAGGGTCCAGTGAACTTTTGACTTGGAACAAATAGTGATACAGATCTTTGTGTTAAGCCTAGAAAATGGGATTTACTCAAACAAACCCTCCCTTATTAATCTGGGTCCAGTTGTTGAGAGAATAGACAACACTTTCCAGCGGAAAAATCGCTATCGAGATGATGACTGCTGGGAAAACGTACAGCGCGATCTATCGGATAAAGATCTAACCAGTGGATAGCGTTATCCTGCAAACAACCGGGGCCTGTTCGTCTCATCTATAAATTAGTAAACACAAAACTTTCGACTTATTAACCTCGAAAGTCAATTAAGATGGCATCCGTAACTTAAGAAATTAATTAAACTCGTTTTGGTTATATTATTTTGCAGAATTTCCCCTCCTCTTTTAATTACTGTCGTCAAAAGAAAGAAAAAGGAAAGCCAAACTCGTCGGATGTTTATTATGCAACATAAAGGGACTTATAGATCAGCGTCTTAGAAACACGTTTTAATTAAAAATTGCAGTAATCGAAAACAACTTTCTTGATTACTTTTTTGTTTCGCTCTACGAGCGAAAATTAGAATAGATTTTGCGTTTTGTTTCGTTGCGAAGTTTTCTGGCTTTTGCCCAAAAATTTATAACAATCTTCTCAGGTTTTAAAGAGTTTGCTGAGCCGAAAATCCTTCGCTAAAAGAGCGTGATCTTTGTCAAAAAGATATACAAGTACTTAATAAAACTTATCACGTGTATCATTAAGAAGTCAATATCAACAACTTGCCAGGTAAACCACGCTTGGTAATTTGTAAATCATGCACTTGACCAAGCTTGACTGATTTTGAATTCTACAATTTATCATAATTTACTGAGTGTGTAAATCTCGCTGTTTTAGATACAATTTGTTGTAAATCGAAAGACACTGATATCTGTGCTAAATAGTCTTCTCCCATTGTGGAAAAACCATTCACCAGAGTAATTATGTTTACACAATGGATTAAATGTGAGCGGTTATTCAAGAGCAATCAAGTGTAAGGGCTTGGTAATCTTTATGTAGCTTCTCATTCAAGCGTCAAATATTTTAAAGGGGTTATGCAGAGGAAGGAGGAAAGATTAAGTACATGTCGATTAAAACATGACGGAAAGAAACTTCTAAAGACGAAGAAATCAGCATCTTTAAGGTTGAAAGACAAACTCTGTGAATTCTGAAAGGAATCGTTCTGTTGGGAACAAAATAGAAACAAACCGACCCCAAAGTAATTTTTTACGAGCAGCGCTTGTGACTTGTGCCCAAGGATCTTTCATAAATGAAAGTAAGCGCGGGTTTTTTTGTGACCTAAAAGTTACTATGTATCCCAATTTTATTTTGCTCGGTAGGGGGTAGTAATATTCTATACTTTACTTAGACATAATATTGTATTATTTTTTTGCCCATTGTAAGTACACCACAACACATTCAGTATTCCATTCATGATTTTCAAAAACAATCATTTTAATTATCGTCTCTATCATATGTATATTTGCCAGTTTCAGCTGTTTATGTTTTCAACATAACATGCAGAAATATCACAATAAGTAAATGCGCCTTCCGTTTGAAATTTAAACGGATATAAAGGGCACCAATCATTTTTTCCCATTTTTTTTGTCTTTACTGAATTCGCTGTTGTTTTTCTACCTTATAGCAGCGTATAATACGAAACACATACATGAAAAGGCACAGTTATAAACCATTTGATGCGTAAAAGTTCAGATGGCTCTCTAGATTTGTAAGACAAATCCAACGCTGTTTCTCGGGCAACATATCAGTTATTTCGACGCTTGTTTACTGACTTCAAAATATCTTTCAAAAACCACGTTCGATATATTTACAAGCATAAGGTGTCCAAAGTCGACATCTATCTGACAATATTAACAATAAAATGCAACCTTTCTCACCTGAATTATCGAAGATTAAATACATAATTACTCAGCAACAATGAGAAAATCTAGATAGTTTATAGACCTGCAAAACGTTAGAATTTCTTCAGCTCAAATGCGGTTTGTGTTATTTCCCGACAGAATTTCTAACCTTTGGGCGACTGAAAACCCGTTTACAACGGGATCACCGACAATCCCGCGGGATCGTGACTTTCTTCCCCGACTCGGGCCGTCGTTACCTCGTGAATCTTCGCTGAGAGTGTCCGAGAGTGACCGGATGTAATTACAAGCGATTCGAAGTATTTCTAGCTTGGTCACGCGCCGCTTGCTTTGTGGAACTGGTAAACATTTCTTGAGGCTTTCTAATGCTCTGTTCAAAGACCGCATTCGACGCCGTTCTCGATCGTTGGCGCGAAGACGGCGCATTTTTTTCAAAGGTTGTCCGCGGCCTTGTCGTGGGCAAACATCACCGTCGTAGGTTCCCGTGGTCTCAGTATTTTCCAGCGTGTTATTACCCAGACAGATTTCATCCAGCACCTCCAAGGTTGTAGGCGTACTGTCCTGAAGCGTTTGGCCTGACGCTTGGCATTGTGGAGTTTTGTCGTACGATAAGGTAGATAATTCATGGTATTGCACGGTGGTAGCTGTTGAAGGATACTCTGTGTCTCTGTACTTGACGATCGAATTCAGCTGCTCATCTGTGAGGCCAAAACCGACTCGACTCTCGGGGGCGAAGCCATCGTTCAGAAAAGCACCGTCAAAGGCCGGTTCGTTGTAAAAACTTCCGTGAAAGATATCTTCCATTTTAATCTACAAGGTTTAAAAACGGACCATTATATCGAATAAATACGACGAAAACCTTGTCAACTTCAAACAGAGAAGGCTAAAAAACATATCGAAACATAATGCACTAGGTAAGAAATGAACATGAAAATTTATATCATGATGAAGAGAGAAATAAGAAACCTTACCAACTACCCGGTGCCTCACTGTGTGTATTATCAAATGAGCAAGATTTTAATCTCACGTGCCCCTTTTATTTAGTCCCTGTACTACCTGTGTGTCTCATGTATACAAAGGAGCGACGGCATAATCACAAAACCAATTAGTGAGAACGTTTGCATTAACGCGCACCGGCTCGGATGCTGACATGTCCGTTAACAACAAAATAACACTGCAATTCAAACGAGCTTCCTCGCGAGCCGGGGATAAAAGAAATGTCTAAACATTGTTTTAATGTGACTTGATTTCCCAGAGTGTGATGCCGCTTCTTTTTCTTTCAATAGGTGAGAGACCAGCGAGGGTTGTAGGAAGCTATCTATCAAGCATTGAACTTTTGTACAATAATTTCGTAAAAAAAACTTCTCCGAATATAAAAGAATTTTTTCTCAATAATAAAACAAAAGTGAGCATGCTTTTCAATGTCCGAACTATTGTTCGCGAAGGGTTCTTTTATTAAATCAGCTCAATTAATAAAAGAAATTCAAACTACTTTCGTTGCAAAATCTTCCAAGAAAAACTCTTCTGCTTGTTTGCGACTAATACATGGAAAATCTACGAGTCAATTTTAACTTGATAACAACTACGCATGCGCGGATCTTTTGGTTTTCCTAACCAACTCATAAAAACGGCGCGAAAAATAACTGTTTTTTAAGGGTGCGGGTATGATTTTAAACTCACAACATGAAATTCAAATTCTTTCTCGTCCTCTAAGAAGAATTTATCCACATGTTTTTGTCAATGGCAGGGCTTAAATCTAATTTGCATTTCGTCGAATATTTAAATTTGGATGGCGACACGAGATGGGAGGATTGTTCGTGTTGGAGCGAAAAACGCCATCCACTTTCCGTTATCGTCTTAAATTTACGGAAATGCGCTGAAATTAACTTTTCTAAGGATTCTTGGGAATTTAAACACATCTTTGAGTCGCCGACACACTCCTATTAATGAACTTAACGTCAAAATAACTGATTAAAATAACAAAAATGAACGAAAATAGGGGCCTTAGAAAACCTAGTGTAATCCATTGTCACTTGGAAAAACTGCCATAGCCCGATATTTTATTCACCTTATTTTCACTTTAAAGCCTCTTAACTGCAAAGAAGCCGTTATCGTCGACAATATTAAAGGTCCAATATTGCACTCGTGCTGAGATGTGCTCCAAGAGTGTTCTTCGTAGAGGGGTGGTGTTTATCACATCGTAGAGTTCACGAAACGGAACATTTTCGCTTTCTATCGCAACATGTTTTATGAAAAAGAGCCTTTTGTTTGAGCGTAACAAAAGCTGCATGTCTTGATGGTGAATAATTGATATTTTCAGTGGCGGGCTCTGCTTTACCATCTTCCTTTTATCTCTCAATACAAAACCGTTTTAGGGTGGAGGACCTGAGTGATTGTCCTTACACGTTTTGCCCATCTGACGAGTCATTTTTCTCTGTCTAATAAACATTGTTATTAGGATGTGCACGGAATTTGATCAACAATGCCTGGCAATTAATAAAGCTCGACAAATCTGTTCATTTCTTAGGTAACCCGGCTATAATGACATGAGCTCACAATATAGGCCACGTGTGGGATTCTCTAAGCATCTTCAACACTTCAGGCCTCAATGTGAAGAGCTTTGCTCCTCCTGTGTGTAAATCTGATCCTTAATCCGTAGATTACGCTAACACACTATGCTTTTATTCGCTTGTGTCTTTGCTATTTATCTTTCCTTAATCAAAAAATATAATAAACGTTAAACAGGGGGCAAATGGGGTAAAAACAGCTCGCCCTACTTCACAGGGTAGAGATTTTTTGGACTTGAGAGAAAATGAGGGGTAAAATGAGATATGGGTTTGACCATTTTAGGTATACATTTTATTTTATAGCATCCGCAGTTAAGGAAATCTTATGGAAGTTGTTGTTGCACCCCACTAGAACAGAAACTGCTCCAGCAGGTCCATAAATCAACGTATTTACCAGCATCAAATATCTAATTACCCATTTGATATCATTCTACTCCTAAATGAACGGCTGAAAACATTGTCAGTGACGCTTCATTATCAAACAAAGGCACACGCCCCGCAAAATTAGCCGATTTAGTGAGATATTTATCGGATCACTCAACACATGTGCAAAGGAAGACAAGTCAAACATAGCAACAAACATTCAAATCAATTCTAATCACAAAACCTCGAGGCCCTTCAAAACGTTTTCTGATAAACGTTCTTGGAGCTCATTTCCGTTTGAATGACTTGATGACGTTGTCTCTTGAGAAAAGCCCGAATGCTTCCTCGAGTATAACGCACGTGGATGAGTCAACGTAATTTAACTCGGCAAACAGATAAAATCGCAGAACAAAGAACAAAATGAGAGCTCTAATGCTGCATCCGAAGGAAACACTTGCCCACGTACCGAAGGTAACACTTGCACACGTTTTGATATCTGCGAAACGTCAAAGTCTCCATATTTTAACAACCATCCTTTCTCGCTCTCTTTATCTCCTTCGTCTTTAGTGTTTTCAGATTTGTCTAAAATATTTTTGGTTTCCTTTAGGCGATAGACTGAAATTTAGCACGACACGAAAAATCATTTTGTAATGTCCTTAATCTTTTGATTTCTGCATCCTAAAGACAGCTGATAAAATCTCACCATACAATACTTATACTTCGTGAGACTTCAGGTGGTGAGGATTAGCAAAAGTTATTACTGATAAATCTTAATTGTCGGAGGTAATTCTGCTGAGGAGAGAGAACTAATAGTATGAATAAAACAAAGTCAAATTAAAACTGTGTCAAAATCACACTAAATTTTCAGTACAAAAACAAGTTGGAGAAACTTACAAACAAGCGATAAAAACCAAGTAATAAAAACCTGTAACTTTTTGTTTGTTTTTCTGCTCTCTGCCATTGGCTTGGAAAACTGGCGTAACCTTTTCAACGAATCAGATGCAAATTCTAAACCAATTATATGCTAATTCTAAGCCAATCACGGCTCGTATAGTCATGTGCATTTTCCTGCGTTTGGCACGCATCTTCTTTGAGTTTATATATTCGATATCTAGTGGTCATTCTTTGGGTTACGATAGTAGTGGTTTGGTTAAAGCTAAACTGTCGAAAGTACTCCACTACATAGTAACGTTCATTATTTTCCTCTTTTTAGATTCATTCTGAAAACCCCGGCAAAAAAAGTGTAATAAAAAAAGTTTAAGAAAGTATAATTCAAGTAAACCAAGTATTTTAACGGGCTTGATCTAGTAGAGGTATGTTAAAAATATTTTACTTGAGTGTATTGCAGGTCTATGTATCCCGGGTCGTTTGACAAACATTTAGGGGGTATTCCAGGTATTCAGATTCTATCAGCGAGCTGAGTTTACAATAAAGTGTATATGAGTTTATAATAAAGTGTAAAACCGGTGAAGTTAGCCAAAGCCTTGAGGTAATTTACAGTTTAGCCTGCTTTAGGTGCAAATTCCTGACCACGGTCGAGCCAAATGAACGATGTTTCACACATACAAACAAGTACCAAGATGACTTCTAAGGCTTCCCTGCGTTGCTTCCTAAGGGTACTCCCTAAGGGTACTCCCTAAGAGTACTCCCAAAGGGTACTCCCTAGCGGTACTCCTCTAAGGAGGTGGAGTAAGGGGTTAGGGGGAACTTCAGCCGACCACAAAACAAAATGTTGGCGAGGGCCGGCAGAACATGCCCACCATTGCCTATCGGTAAGGACTCTGTACTTTTGAAAAAGCAGCATAGAGATGACTTGGCGAAATATTCAGTTTCGTGACTTCTTCAAAATCCCTTTATCAGGAACTTGCTTAGCGAAGTAGTATGTTGTAACAAATAAATCACGGACATGCTGAACACTATTAAGATTGCAAAGAAGTTTGCTTGTGCCAGCAGCTGCGCGAAGGATGTTTTCAGGAAGTAGAGTGAGAGATGCGTTTTTGTTTCCCCACGAAACAAAACACTCCACCGTCTTTGCTTTTTTTTTTTGTGACCTCAGTTAACATCATTTCTAAACTTGCTATACTCCTAAAGTTCCCGATGACGATAACGTTCGTTTAGCCGTTTCAAAACGCCCGAAATCATAGCATCGCTAAATCGACTCTTCTAAGGGGTAAAGGCAGTGCGCCAGTTCCTCCGAAACGAGTAATGAGGTTCTACCGTCTGTCTCACAATGTAGTCACTTCTGATATGGATTACATCCTTACGACAGCATATTGTCAGTCTTTTTCAGGTTATGAGGTCGACTGGTTTCGCGTCACATTATGCAGCACCACTGCAATTTGTTTAAATTCTCATCAAAATCCTGCATGCATCAAACTGAAATAGTTATTAACACTTTTAAAACTTTCAGTCGTGGCTTACTCAAGTAGCATACGTGATGTAACTGGAACACTGTGTGTATGCTGATTGGTCAGAAGCCTATATTTTATCCACTAGTAAACTCGTTACTATTTTTTGAAAGCAATAGACTGCGCATTCTACTGGTTTTACAGGCGTAATAACCCCTCTCAGTGATGTTGGGACAACACTCAGTAAAATTGTACACTTTTAGCTTCGGCTCGCGTGGGTTTTCAAATGTGCCGTGAATAACTTGCGGGTCTATTGCTTAATAAACTGATATTGAATGATTTAGATATGAATAAGATAAAACAAAAAAAGAGATATCTATAAGGTGCCAAGTTTGTTTCAACGACATGCATGCATTTCTTATATTGGTTTCAGTCCACCTTACCGCCTTGGCCGATATCACAGCTGATGTTTTGACTCAGTAAATTTTTGATAGAAAAGTTTCCGAAATAACAATTTTTTAACGATTTTGATAAAGGGAAAGGAAAAAGAAAGTAGATACTTGTCGCAAGAGGGAGATCTAGACGAAGTAAAATCCGAGTCTTTCGCCAGGATTCAAAGTTGAACCTTAGATCTCCCGGTTTCGCGGCGGGATGTTCTGTGAACAAAGCTACCAAGAATTGAAAGGAAAATGTAGTCAATCTAATCACAAGCGTAGTAGAAAGAAAAAAAACTGAGTTCCTATAAGGAATCCAACCCTAGCCTTCAGGAAAGGTTCCGCGCTCCAGTGCTCTACCGATGAAACTATTGAGAACTCTGTGGTGCGCTGGGCCATTACTACACGGCAAGTGTTCTGAATACAGCTGAAGAGAAATAGCCAATCGGGACATATATCAGATCTATATGCGACAAGAGTTCTAAACACTTCTAGGATTTGCAAAGGATTGGATGTCGTGAAAATATAGAAAAGCAATAAGATAAGAGAAAAGGGGAAATAAAAAAAAAGGAATTAATGAAGAATTGAATGAACAAATGAATAAACAATGAATAATTAAAAAACTGGGAAAGGAATGATAAAAGGCCAAAAACCTTTATGGTCTCAAATCGATTCAATAACACCGACAAAATTCTTGATTAGGAGCTGCTTCCCTTAAACTGAGGGAGAACCGCCCGATTGATTGGTAATTCAGTTTGAAGAAAAAAGCTTTTAATAAACATGTAAAATATTCTTATTTCTCATAATAATAAATGCACACTGGCAAGAAAGTAAAGATGACCAGTCACAGCTCACGGCTCCACTATAATAGCTGAAGCCCTTTTGCGCAAAGGAGATTTTAAATAATTCCTAGATCCGTTGAGAGATTCAATTTTCCAGCCACGAAGGACTTATCAAGCAAGCGAACGAAAGAGGGAGCGAGCGAGAAAACGAGCGAACTAACGAACGAACGAAGAAAGAAACGAACGAACGAACAAACGAAGAGACGAACGAACGAACGAACGAACGATCGAGGGACGAAAAGAGCCTATACCGGCCTCTACCTCCTAACACAACGTGTTGGAAAAGATGTACTCCGGGGAAGATTGGAGACGACATTATTCAAGATGGCGGTCGAAGCGAGTTGTCCAATCTTTGTAGTCGGTGCGTTCACCGACAAACCTTTTGGCGGGAATCCAGCTGCTGTATGTCTCGTGGGATCAAGGGTAAGAAACTTTCAATAGCAACGAGCGTGAGATTGGGCTAGGAATTGTGTGACAATATCATTAAATTCGCCTTGAATCAGGTCACTTGAACTTGCCTCTTTCAATACGGAAAAATAAAAGTGAAGTCACCGGGTTGTATTTACGTTTCGCCTCTATTCTTTTCCCCCTGGACCTGAAAAGCATTTTGCTTCGAAACTTTTGAGGAGGGATTTGTACCAAAACTGACTCGTTTCCCACCCTCAGAATTTAAGGATAACAGGAAGTTGGTTGGGGGTTGTTCAATTCAAACAGCAAACGTATTATGCCTTAAAAAGAAAAACTTTCCCATTATTTTCTTTTACCTAAAATTTATCATGTGGCTTGAGAATTGAGAGGATTGATGGGGGTCTTAAATTTAGAGTGTGCTGGTGTAAAATTGTTCGCATATGTACACTGTATCTCTTAATTCCAATTACATTACTACAAAGTGACACTTAATTAACCCCTTCACTGCCTACATGACATACTCAGTACATCGAAAGTTATGACAGTAACAGTCAAATCTCCAGCATTGGAAATGTAAAATAACCTGGCCTCCAAAGCTCAAAACTAGTTAAAAACTCTTGTAGCGCTTCTAGCGACCAAAACAAATATAGTTTATAAGATCCCAAGGGGTGTCACTCCAAGACGTGATTAACAAGGTGCTTAGGGGCTATTTTTACAGATCGAGATTGAAGAATAACAGACCGAAGTTGACCGTTCACACAAATCTTTAATCCTGCAAGCAATCGACCACAAACCACAATCAACGATCAATCTCACAATCAATCAGTCAATTGTAAACTGCAACAATAATACAACGAAGTTCTATCAATCTATTGAAATGTTGCGAAATACATAATCAAAAATAGCGTGTAAAAAACTGGGCCTTAACGCCGATAACAAGATTATAATGACAATGAACAATACAAATACCCCAATAAATCAGAACAAACTATGTCAGAGGACAAAAGTTTCGGTACAAATTATTAAGAATTTTGGTGGCTGGTTAACAGCCCATTGTTCTTATATGTAAATGGTGGGCTTTCACTTGCATCTGATACAATTTTGGCCTTTAAATCTCAAATCAATTGAAAATATGGCAATACAACAAAATATCTGTTTGTATACTTTTGCCCAATGCTGGAAAACTAAACTTAGAAGAACAAAGTTACAAAGGTACTTACATATTGGTCTCGCTTGTGCCAAAGGTTTAAGAAATAAAAGGACGAAAGTTTACCAAGGCTACTCAAAAACTTACAAAGAACTGATTACAGGGACACTAAACTCGCTTTTATATGTGCGTGGTAACCTTGGAAGATCCGATTACAAAACCAATAGAAATATATATACCTATATATAATACATATATATATATATCTATTTCATAACAATAGAAATATAGACCAACAGATAAACAATGCAACTATGTTGGTATCTAGGATCATTCTGCTATTATTAAACTAATCAATAATCAATTTAATAAAAATGAGCTTCTGGCTAGTGTCCTTAACATTTCTAAAAAACAATAAGTCAATTTGCATTGGCACAGGACTTTTTGGTGATGGCAGTCAAGGGGTTATGGAATTTTTCTCAATTAAAAAAAGATATGTACTCACATTTAATTGTGGGAAATTGTAGCAAATGCTGTTGGAAAGTGCTCAACACACGAGTGTAGAGCGAAATACAGTTCAGTGTCTGTCTGACGAGTGCGTAAGCACGAAACTCAGGGTTACAGGGAATCATGCGTGTTTCATTTTAGTCATTTTGAACTGTACTCATATTTAAAATTGTTTTATTTATGGAATCTATGCAAGTGAGGTTGTTCTCTTTTGAAATTTCAAGTGCACCATTATCTTCTTCCACTGGTGTAATTTGCAAATTGATGTGTACCAGTAATTTTTATTGAATTAATTTGTTCTTACAAGCATGAATTAGTGATGACATCTTGCAAAAAGTTGCAAAAGAAATTAACTTATTGGAAACAGCCTTTATCCTGGGAAAAAATGAACCTGACATATATTCAAAAGGTTAGGTTCACCAAACCCAACTGAGTTTTACTTAAGCTTAGACTCCATCTGCTTTTGTCTTAAATTTAGGAATTAAGTGACAATACCATGCAAAGGATAGCAAATGAAATGAATTTGTCTGACACTGCTTTTATCCTCCAAAAAACTGAGCAAGACACGTACTCAAAAGGTTAGGAATAATCACAGCAAATAGCACCCATTTAACTAAGTTAGTCCTTCTTCTTTATCCCTTTGACCCTACAAGGGACCTTCATCTAATTTCTCCTCACAAAGTCACCTCTGAATCACACCTTGAGGTCACAAGAATAAAGGAAATGATCACCAACTACAGAAGCTCTTGATTGTCAGGCAAATTCTCCTCATCAGCACCTGAGGAAATGTAGGAAGAACAGTATGGAGAATGTGCATATTGATGTTAGGGTGTGAACAGTTATTGTCCTGGACGCATGTGATGACTTATTTTATCCTCTTATTAAATATCCAAAATGTGTGCATTACCTTAAGTTAGTTTTCCTCTGTTCTTTTATGTCATTACTGTATCTGTTCATAGTAAGCATTTTCATGTATTGGACATAACTGAATGTAGAAACATTGTTCGAAAATCTACCTTTATGGCTGAAAATTACAACATATTATTTTGAGAGCAAACTGATTCTGGTGAAACACGAATTAATCTTAGTGTAAGTTTTGTATGACCTGTGTTTTTTCACCTCTCTGCCTATGTTGTATACTGAATTCTAATTTTATCTATTGCAGGTTCCTGTTTTGGTCTTCGTTGGTTTACCCCAGCATGTGAAGTGCCTTTATGTGGACATGCAACTTTAGCCTCAGCAGCTGTTTTGTTTGACTCCATAGGTAAGGTGTAACTCACAGAAGTGATTAACAAGTAACTTCTCCCTACAATACCCATGCACTATCCAGCAAACAGGTAATGAGAATACTTAAATCTATCAGGTAGAAGTTGTTATCATGATCTAACACCAAATCCTCATAACTTATTTACAAGGACATGTCTAGTAGCTAAAGGGGAGAATTAACAATCAGATCTTAGGAGTTAAAGGGTTAAGAAAGTTGTGGTTTTAATAAAAGCTTCTCACTGGCCATCTACCACCCTCTTTGGACCTGTTATCCCCTGGCTAGCCTGTGAGCTGGGGTACCTGTGGGCTTTCACACTTGTAAGTGAGTTATAAGCTGGCAGGGAGTCTCAAAACAACAACCTCACTCTCAGGGTCTTACTTCTACCCTTCCTTTACCAAAGGAAGGAAATAAAGAGAGACCTGGGAATGAGGTTGTTGAAACATGAGCCTCCCAACTTGCCATTTATTTTCAAATTTCCTATGTTTATCCACAAACACAGCATTCTGACCAGTCAAGAATAACAGGCAAATTACAGGTGTCATTACAGCACTCTTTTTATTTGCCCTAAAAATAAAAGCTGAAAATTACATTTCGAGGCTTCCATAATTTTATTATTAGTTTCAGCTTGGTGAGCATACCCCAGATCTCCCCACCCCCCCCCCCCCATGGAAGAGGCCAACCCTTTTCCACAGAAAACTAGTTATAACAACATTGATAGCTGCCTATGTCAAATGTTACTTAACCTTCTGTCTACTTTTATAACTTAAAAATGCAAATATCAGGGGTACCATTCCCTTGTCTGAATTGTTTGAGCCTTTGCAACAGCTTTTGCTACTGAATCAATCCAGTATATAGTAACCTACCCCCCCTCCCCCCGAATATATCATTAATGCATTCTGCGTTTTCCCAAGTCTTTCCAATCTTGTATTTTAACTATTGTAAGAAATTTGTAATTTGTTAATATGTAATCATTGAACATACCCTTACTAGGTAATGCAAATGCTGAAGTAACATTTGAAACATTAAGTGGGAAGTTAATGGCAAGACAGGAAGGTGGGAATCTGATTTGATGTAAAAGGCTAACTAAAAGCGCACAGTTAGATACTTTGGTTTTCTTAACTAAGTTCAAACTTGACGATGTAAATTTTCCACTGTAGAGAGTTTGTAAAGCTGACATTTCAAGCACTCATCCCTTGTCAAAGCAAATGTCTACAGTAATTTTCTGGTCAATTAAAATTATAATACTAGAAAGTTGCATTGGTGAATACTAGTGGTATTTATTATTTGCAAGATCTTAAAATGAAATTGACAAGTCAAGTCTAATTGTGCTCTCAATGAATTTGGGCAAGAATGTTGCAGCCAGCAATCATATTTTGATTTCCTTTTTTCTTTCTGTTACAGGTTCATTAATTTGTTTAAACTTCCCTTTGAACAGCTGTGAACCATTACCTAAAGTATGTGTTAATTTCATTGTGTTTATGTACAGCATGTGGTACCAAATTTACATCTAGCCTTGAATGTTAAAAATTAACATTATCTTAAATTTTGTTTATTTGCCACTAATCTGAAAAGTGGGATACGCTGTCTGAGAATTTTTTCATGAAACTTCAAGTTAAAAATTCCTACCAACCAATATTGTCTATAATTGTGGGTATAGCATAATATTTATGATTATTGTAGCAGCTGTTTTGTGGGAGAATCAAAACTTGTTCAACAAGTTAGTTCAAAGCATGTTCTTGCCTTAAAATCAATTGCTCACATTTCATTTCTGTCAGGAAGAAGTAATGAAGAGATTAATTAAAGCAGGTAAACAACTTTTTCTTCAACAATTTCTATAAGAGACAGGAAGAAGCCCATTTTGGTCTGGGTGTTATACCTCTAAAAGTTAAGTCTTGGAAACTGCTGGTTCTGAAGCATCAAGTGACTCAAATACTACTACTCCATCTGGATGAAACACCATTACATCCCATGTTACCCTGAACCACCTCCCCCTCCCCATTTCTTGTATTTCAACAAGTTTTCCTGACATTTTCCAAAACTCCATTTTTATTCCATGGCCCAGAGGCCTGGTGAGAGTGAAGGGTCTTGGAAATTTCCAGCCTTTAAAATAACAAAGTCAGAAAGGGAGGTGTCTGGAACAGCAAAGTTGTGACTACAAGTAGTCTACTGTCTCTCACTCTAACAAGCCTATTATTCATTCTGTTCGCTGTAGGAAGGAAATAGGTCAAATAACAATGTTTACTTATCCAAATATACTTGTTAGAAGATAAATCAGTAACTGAAAATTGTTATCAGTTGTAGGCGACCTTAGGGTGAAAGACGTTGAATACTCTAAGACAACCAAGAATCTTCTCTTGTGTTTGGAGCCTTCATTGACAAGGTCAGGTCATAGAATAAGAATTAAAAAGAACATAAAATTACTCTTACATAAAATTAAGAAGTGTGGGCTAAGGGGCAAACCTTGTTACACAATTTGACTACAAGTTTGTCCTATTGATGATCACTCAGTCATTGAATAGCATTGTGTTTCTGATAAATCTTTAACTTTTGCTCACAGAGAAGATCTGGAAAACCTCTCCCCAGACTTCCAGGCTATGTTGTCTGCCCCCTTGACTGAACTTGTCCGTGGTGTGATTGTAACCTTGCAGGGGACTAAGGTGAATGGGTGTGTGAATGGTAGCGGTGAGGTGTATGACTTTGTTTCACGTTACTTTGCTCCTTGGGTTGGAGTATCTGAGGACCCAGTAACTGGTGAGTTTTAAAATAGCTTTTAAGGTAGTTCTATTCATTAATGTTAGTTTCCTTTTTTAACATTACAATCTTTCTTTTAGGCTCGGCACATACAGTTCTTGCTAGTTATTGGTCACAAAGACTGAAAAAGAACCATTTCTATGGTGAGTTCCATAATTCCTAGTAAGGTTGTTTGAAATGTGCTGTCTGAATTTTGGAGTTAGTGACATTTGCCCGAGTTTTTAGTATACCCGTTCCAAACAAAACAAAAAACAGCAAAGCTTGCCTTTTATTTGGCCTTACAAGGGTATATTTCCTGATTAGAGGGGTCAGTTTGTTGTGTAGTTTGATCCAACCCAGAAAAAGGATGATTACAAAATTGGTGTCTTGAATCGTTGCTCTTTGAGTTTATCTTTAAAGGCTGTGTTAGGCTTGATCAACCATCCATATTGTGTTTAACTTGAAATGTCTCCCTGTCACGTTTATATCAGTGTTTGGGGAAGTTTAATCTGACTTTTCTAACATATCATTTTCTTTTTTTAGCTCGTCAGTGTTCATCGCGTGGTGGAGAACTGAGAATTGATGTCAGGGAAGACAACAGAGTTGATATTGCTGGACAAGCAGTCTTAGTTCTTCAAGGAAGCTTACGCTTATGACAGGTGTCATCATTCCCTGACATCAATTCTGGTAAAAAGAGCTTCTATTACCAAGGAGCAAAGACTTTCAACAACCTGCCTGCTGAACTAAGGTCGTTAGATTCGAGACTGAAATTTAAGAACAAATTGCGAGATTATTTTAGTTAAATTCTATCTAAACGTGGTTATAGGTATCCTTTTCAGAGTATTTTTATTTAATTTTTTTTTTTTTTTTTTTTTTTTTTTTTTTTTTTATTTTATTGTATGCTTTTCTAGACCTTAAGATCAATGATTATATCTTGTTAAATTTTATTTTATTATTTTATTTATTTATTTATTATTTTTGACAGGACCCCAAGGACAACAGTGTTACACACTGATGGGTTTCAATCCTGTATAAAAATTCGTTATTATTATTATTATTATTAACCCCAACCTTTCTGATAAATAACATGGCAAACCAAAATTGCGATTACAGAGAACACTCGCAATATGACATACACCAGTACAGAAATATTAAACTTTGTATTACAAGGACAAAAGCAGGATTGTGTAGTTAAGGAAAACATTTCTACATTAAGTTTTGTTTCATCAAAGAAAATTCACATTACAGCATATAACTAAAGATCTTCAAGAGAAAACACGCACTACAACCTTCCCAGGGAAACACTTTCTGTAAACATAATTTCTTCAAAAGTTAAAACTTGTATTGTCATAGAAGTTTCTGAAACATGCACTTGTTAAGCATAAGTAATACCTTTCATTTAACCAGCAAACAGTCTTTCAGCCATAAATAATACGCTAGAGATTATCTGAGGTACCGTCAGTGCCCAAACAAATGCATAAGACAACTATGACACACAAACTTCCTTAAAAAAGATTTTCAACATCTTTTTAAGTTTATTTCTTATTTAGAGAAACGTGGTCAGATAATAGATAATTATAACCAAGAAAGAGAAGAGATTTAGTTTGTTGTTTCAGTTAGTCATGCTGGACGTTAGAGATTGCTGAGAAAGACCTTATCAGTGTTTTTCCCCAAAGGTGAAAGATACCATTGTCAGAAAGGTTTATTATTTTCACTTGACATTGCCTTGTTGCTCTCTTTTCCTTAAGATGGAAAACCCCCCCAAACCCCACCCCTTCCCTTTCAACATTGTAGTGCTTTCAGCTTTAAGAAGATTTAAGTGGAGCAAGGAACTAAGAAGGCTCATGACATTGTCAAACGGCTAACACATAACTTGTCCTACAGTAAAGTGAACTAGATTCCTAATTCCAGTACTTCTTTTGTAGCTGTTCAAATTCATCACTTGTGACAAACTTCTTCTGGTCCCTCGCAACTTGAAGGTTGGAGAAAAGCTGTTGAAGTTCTAATAACAGAAATGAGTTGATAAATTGCTGTAACTGGCCCAAAGAAACAATTTTTTGAAACAACAACAACAACAACAAAATGAAGTTTAAAACCAAGTTTCTCACCTTTCTTTTCTTTAGACGACATAAATAACAACACCATATCGAATCGTTCAACATGACTAAGCTCTTCCAGAATGTGGCAAGCAAGTTTTTCTTCTCCTGTTACAATAACAAAGTGATCATAGGATAAGATTATGACTCCACTCCGACTAAGGTTTCAATCCTCAATTGTTCTTGAATTAAAAAGCTAAAGTTTGTCTTTACCTTGTGGAACAATTTCCTGGCTGAGGGCTGCTATAATGCTACTTAACATTGGAGCATCAAGTTTATTACTGAGAACTGACCAAAAAAAAAACATACAATGTCAGTACACGACCTTCTTTGAGGACTCCTCTAAACTTTGCCCCTTACTTGGTAATTTATATTCTCATTTTCCCTTATTCTCTTTTGTGTCCCTTTCTTAATATCCTTCTATCCTCCCCTTTCCCACATGACCTATCTCTCCCTATCGACCCCCCTTTAAATTAATTCCCTTTCTCTTCCCATTCTTTCTTTCTTGATCTGTATCCCACTTTCCTCTCATCCGTTATCGATTAACGGTTCTTATTCTTCCCTCATGTGAGCTTTTTCTGAACCCTCCTCCCTCTCTCACATATCCACTTCTATTTCCCATTTCTTTTTCTCCTTGTTATTCTCTAATTCTCCTTTTTTCATCCTCCATTCCCTCTTCCCTTGTTTGTCTTTTAATCCCATTCTTTCCCCTATCACTCCTCTCTCCTTTCCCTTCCTTTCACACACACCCCACCTCAGACCGCCCCCTCCCTCCCCCGTTCCCCATTTTCAGCATAACAAGTATCTTTACGGACTTTGTACCTTTGGTGAGGCGTTTCGTCTCTAGCTGCCTCAGTAAATCCGCATAATCTTTAGTATCATTTTTTTTCACCGAGTTCCACGCTTGAAAGAAATCATACGGCGTTTTCTAATGAAAAACAACCATGTATAAACTTAAGTGATGTAACGCCATGACGTTGATGAAAGTGATAAGACTTCAATTGTTACAGAAGCTACGTCAAGGATCACGATTTTCTGCCGAAAATGAGGATGAAAATTCAAAATCGAATGAAATCTCACAGTGATGGATACAACTCTCGTTGTTTCAGAAGCTTCATCAAGGGCCACGAATTTTTTTGCGAAGATATCGTAGGATCCGCAAAATTCAAAATCGATTAAAACGTTGAAGTGATCGTCAATCACCAAGGAAGGAATTGTGAAACAAAAAGGATCAGAGATAGAGGATGGAGAAGAAGCAAACGAAGTGAAAATGACGATGAAAACAGTATCACTGCTCATTAAAGATGTCAACCTTTGCAAGCTTGACTGGCCTTCCAGTTGTGGTCCCTTCCATTGGATTAATTGGCGCTTTATCTGAAAGCTTGTTAGCTGTAGAAGGAGACGGCTGTTTCGGCGAGGGGACTGGCCCTTCGTCTTCCTGGGAGACAAAAGATAGCATCAGTCATAGTAGAGGACGGGAAGGCAGCACATACGTGATACGCAAGGGTCAAGTATGACTTCAATACACCAGAGGCTTATACGGCGGGAAGTGAACTCTGAAATCACAATCCTTATTGGATAGCGTGCTGAAGACCTGACACAAACAAGAGAAGGGAGATGTGGTTCCTTTAGCGTTCTCTCGTTGTACCATCCTCGAACACCCATACGTTGTTGGGGTGCGAGGAAAAAAACCGTTGTATTACTCAAACTTGTTTACGCGTTAGTCGTTTTTGGGCTTGACAATATTCAGGTAAAATCTCGTTGTTCTGATCGCTCAAAAGGAGATTCCATAACCAGTTAAAAGGAACTCAGTCCAGATAAAAATAGAGTCCGGAAAAGACACCTTTTTTTGGTGTTTTGTGGGGGTGGGGAGGGGGGTTTACTCGACCTACCTCGTGGTCTCTATCTTGTACATCCCTTATTGTTACTCTTTTCCATTTTGTTTTCGTCTCTTCGTGACTAATTTTCGTCTCTTCGTGACTAATTTTCGGTGCCTGTTGTTCGGCTTTCTTTTCCTCTTTTCTTTCTTTAAGTTTTGCATTTTTGTCGTGTGATGACCTTCGTTCCTGCCAAAAGTGAGCATGATCACAGTTTGAGTTTCCTTTTTTTTGAACTATGAAAGAAAAAACTTGAAATACGTAAACACAAGTACAAAGCGTTCATTTGGTATCTTATTGCAGGTGGGCAATATCCCAGCACAGTCAGTCTTTACTAATGAAAACAGAGTCTTGTTGGAATACCTTACGGCACATCTCAAGAACAATTTTTAATTCTTTCTTGGCGGCAGCATTTTTCGGTTCAATCTTCTGGAGGGATAACAAGTCTCTTGCAGCTGAATCATACTGCCCTAACGCCTGTCAAATACCAACAGAGCAACAATTGTGATGACTACAGAATGTTACGAACACTATAGTTGGTTGAAAAAAATATTCAGCACTTAATATGAGGTACACAGTAACTAACACACATTGAAATCGATACAACTTGAAGCACGATGAGCAACTTCTTCCAACTACTGTATACGGTTTGAACTAGGGCGTGTAGTCTGATTGTTTGTATAAGAGTAGTCCAGGAAAGGATTACTGTGGGGGGTGGTGACCGATGTGTTCACAAACTGAGCAGAAGTAACCATAAAGAAGAAGTCTAATGAGATTTTTTGTCGGTTGAGTGTTATTAGTCCGGTTAGTAGAAAGTGATTAGTCAGTTTGCTGTTATTTACCAGCTGTAAGCCTCACGAAACGTGAGTCAGTGGGAACCTTCTTTCCCGCTATTTCGGGTGTTAAGTTTTTTAAAAGGAAAAAAAAGGCGTCATTCTTTCTCTCTTGTTTTCTTATCATTTGCGGTTGAATCACATTAATGTTACATCGAATCCACCCATTAAGGTCATACCCTACATGTTTCTCTCTCGGCAATGAAACAAACCTTTTTGCCGAGTGCTCTCCTGAAAAGAGCCTTCACGTTATCAGGTTGAAGTCTCAGAGCTTCTGTTGCATCATCCATTGCCAGCTCGTGCTTGAGACAAAAGGAAACTGATTAGTTTTCAGAGAATCCAAATAATAATAAAAAAATTTGGAATAAATAAGTAAAAGAAAGAATAGTCAATGTTTGCTAGACGAAAGAGAGGTCCGTACTCTCTTAAGGAATGTAAAAATAAGGTAAATACAAGTATCCAGAACTTTTAATTTTAACTTTTAACAGGGTTCAGCCTCTTACCTGATTGAGTCGCAGGTAACATAGTGCTCTGTTTGTATAAATTGCTACGTTTATGGGATCAATATTAATGCATTCTGTGTATCGCGCAACAGCTTCCTCGCAGCGGTTCTGTTACGGGAAAAGGAGAAATACCCTTGCTCTAAATAAAAATATACCTTGGATTTTAAGTACGTTTAAAATTTGCACGAAGGATCGACTACACGTTCTATCACGTGAAAGATTTTTTTTAATTACAAAAATTTCCACATGGCGGACTCCATGGCTTGTGCGCGTATGATAAAAGTAAATGAAAAAACACAAACAAACAAAAGTACACAAAAGCGAAAGCAGCACTTCGTTTTTGTAACATAAGGAAACATATAAACACACTCTGGCATAAAAACAACAGCAACAAAAGTAACACGTTATCTACCTGTTTTACTAACGAATTCCCTTCTTCTTTACACTGTGCAAACCTCACAGCTGGATCAACAGGGGCCTCCACAGTAGGATGAGTGGTGGTTGGCATGCTTTCGGTTATCCCTTGTGGAGGGGAGGGATGGAGTTGGTCTGTAGCTTCTTCAGCTGACTGTGTAGGGGTAGGGTGAGCTGATGAGCTGTCAGTGGTAGGCAGCGCTACAGAAGACTTGATCACTGGTGAGTATTCCATTGGGGAAACTTTCCTTCTCCAGTTCGTTCCAAGCCGATGTTCTAGATGTTTTGAAGTCCTACACAAGTAGAATTAAAGTCACTCTTTTGCTGCCAAAGTTGACGTATTTAGACGTTTGCAAACTTGAAAAGTTAGAGATGGACCAATGAACACGTGTGGCAAGATAGTGGGGGGAAAACTACATCCCCCCTCCCCCCAAAAAAAATTTCGCAAGGGTATATCACACTAAATAACTTCAGTGTACAGAGAAAACATATGGTAATTATTCCTTGGAAAAATTGAAAAATAACAAAACGAAAAAGTATTATTTATGTCCTCCTAGATTTTAAAAAACCTTCATGAAGTTATCACCTGTAGTTTCCATGTAATGCAGTGCTGTTTTGAGGGAGAGATTTTCAGCGCCATTTGGTAATCCAGCCAAGCCTTGTCGAACCTGGCACAACAACAATCAAGAACGCAGAAGTTAATGGTGTCATGTCTCACGTTTGCGTTTTTCACGCGAACGGAGGCAAACGCAAGGAAAGTGCAAGGAAAGCGCGGGAAAGCGCGCGCGAGGGGTGAGATACACGCGGGGAAGGAGCTCCTCCTCTCGCACGTTACTGGCCTTTTACACTCTCCTTGCGCTTTCCTTGCGCTTTCCTCCACTTGCGTTTCGATCTCGCGAGTTGCATGACTAACTCTTACAGGTACCACTTGTTTCTCGCAAGAGATCCTTCGTAACGTGTACAAATTTGAACGCCTCATGTCTCAATTTTGTGCTTGAAAGTATCAAAATCAAACTAAAAGAACCTCTTACTTTTCTAAGATTTCGTATGCTTCGGCTCGTTTGAGGAGTGGTCTGAAAGCACCCGGTGAAACCTCCAAGGCAGATGTACAGTCATTTATACAACTAGTACAGTCACCAATCTTGATCATACACGAGCCACGGTTACACAGCAAAGCACACATGGCGTGACGGGATACGACTTTCTCTGCAGATAAGAATAGCCAAAAACAACTCAACTGATCCTGTTTTATGATCTTCCAGTTGATGGTAGTTCTGAAAAATGACTGCTAGCGGAGATAGCGACCCTTTACACCCTGACATCAAATTGTAGTTTCTCCATATTGTTGTTTATACATTGCCTGTTACTAAAACAAAATTTGTTTAAAGATTAACAGCCTCTTTCGTAAGCGATCCTTTCCTTTTCTCATCAAGACCGTAATGTTTGATTCAAGGATGATGCTGTAAGAAGAAGTTAGGGGTTGGAGTGTTGAGTGGAAGTCATCATCTGGGTCAAGTGAGGAGTTATTTCCCAATTGAGTGTTAGCTCGTGAAAAAGTATTGGCTATGTTTGGTGTGTTGTCATTAGCTGTAAGTGCCGAGTATCGTTCGTTAGTTTCAATCTGCCAGTGAAGTTAACTTGTTCTGTTTCGTTCCTCTGAGTCATGTGAATACCGTAAGTATCTGACATGTCCTGGAGTCGGTTTTAAGAGGACTACAGCAGCTCAATCTGTCCAAAGAAGTTCAGGGTTTCAGTCAAATATTACCGAGCACAGTCTCGGTAAACAGTATGGTTCATAAATTGAAGAAGTTCCCTTGAAATCCTTTACGTTTTTAACTTAGTTGCTACATTGAAATGTTCAATAACTTTGAAATAATAATAATCAAAAATATCAATCTGTACCTTCTTTACTTTGCTTCAGTATATCAATAGCTTGTGTAAACTGCTCCGCTGCCTCAGCAAATCTTCCCAGTTTAAACAGTCGTGTGGCATCTTCTTGAGCCTTCTGCACTAATCCAGGTAGTTGGGGCTGTTTTTTAACTTCTTCCTTATCGCTCGATTGCACTCCTTCACCATCCATAGTTCTTTGATTGGCTTCTGCTTTGTCTGCTGAATGAGTAAATGATTTAGTTGACGTTTTATTAATATTCCTTTCCTCATTTGATTTTGCAGAAGTTTCTGGTTCATTTTCACTCGCAACCTCGATGATTTTCATCCTTTTTCCTTTGGGTTTCATTGACGACACTTTTTCAGTTTTAACAGAACTATGATTATTAGAAGAAGTTCTTTCAGAGCCATTTAATTCACTTTTGTCTCGGTGTGATTCCGCTGATTTTCCACCAAGCTTGCTGTGTTCTTCACTTTTGCTAAAACAGAAGTAAAAAAAAACCCAAGTAAAAAGACGCACAGAATTCTCCCTGTGCCACTCCCCCCCCCCTACTCACCCAACCTCCTTCCTAGCTTACCCCCTTCACCCTCTCGTGCTTAGAGGAGGCCATGGGAAAACGAAAAAAAAGTTCCTCTGTGGCTTTTGAAAACTGTGTTCAAAAACACGCGCGAATCTAAATAGGTCGGATACTCTCAACTTAAAACACTTCACGAACTAATACTTGTACAACATGTATCAAACTTAAATCCATAGCGAAATAGTAATAACAGTCAAATGTGAGGCAGCGATAAACATTGTTGAGATGTTAGGAGTTGTCTACCTTAAGCAAGCTCGCTACATGTACTATAAGCCTCGAATCACAGTAACTTCTCTCTAATTAACCCCAACTCTGACTCCAGCTTCAACTACTTTCTACAACAACTCCAACCAACTACTATTACCAAAAAGCTATGCTTTTTATTTTCATTTGGTTGTTTTTCTCAACCTCGGAAGTTGGCACCATACCTGTGCTCGACAGTGTGATAAACAACCTGAGGCGCTAAAGGCTTAAATTACTGATAACCTCCATAATAAGAAACACATACAGATGTGAACATGTTATGTTGGTAAGAAAAAGCTTTGAGTCTTATGCAAATAAAACACTTCAAATAGTGATAATTTATTATAGAAATATAACATTCCAGAACAAATCAACTAGAACCACAAAAACATCATTCTTAATTTACACTACACAACAATAGTTACCTGTTTTCTTTCTTTTTTAATTCATCAAGCAATTCCTGTGTTAAAACAAATCAGCAGTAACTAATTGAAGCAAAATTACTCTGATTTATATATACCACTAAATGACTGAGAATGACAAAAACATGTTAAAATTTTTATCAACACATACCAAGGCTCGTTTATTTTTAGGTTCAATAGAAAGCACTTGATTAAGATCCTTCCTTGCTTCTTCATTAAGCCCTTTCCCTCGATGAGCTATGGACCTTCTCAAGTAAGCTTAGAAAACAAAAGCGAAAGAGAGTTCAGTGCATGACCTTACTTCAAATACCAGCTGACAGAAGGTAATAGGTTAGCTTTGTATTTCCTTCAAAATGAAAGGATTTCTGAAGCATTTTGTGATAGTCACAATTACTCGTTTGGATGTTGTAAAAATGTCCATTCATTCAAAGAAGCATTGAATGATAATTCACAAAGGTGGAAACTATAAACTAAAATGTAACAAGAATGATTGTGAATCACAAAGAAAAACACAGATTACACACCGAAACATTAAAACAAAATGTTTACCAGCCTACATTTTTCAAGATGGATAGCTTTTCCCTTCATAATTTAACTATTGGAAACAAATACAGTTGGATGCGAAAATAATTATTGTGAATCATTAAATGTAGTACCTTTTACATTCTTGGGTTCTATACTAAGCACATGATCACAGTCATCAACAGCTTCTTGGAACTTTCCAAGTTTAATTTCTTTAGGGAAAGAAAATATGCTATTAAATTAAAATGACAACACACTTTTCACCAAAAGGTGACATGTATCCCTTCTTCTTCATTTCCAGAAGAAGGCTTATGTACATCAAGCAGTTGAAACTATACAATTCACATCAGAAGTAACAATATTTTGACAATAACAGGAAAGACTTTAATTTCTTATCATCATCAGTGGGTGCACTGTGAGCACTTTATACCTGCAAGTGCCCTGTTGTTGTACACTGCTGCTGCTTTTGGATCCAGTTCAATGCTTCGGCAGTAAAAGGTCAAAGCTTCAGAGTAATGGCCACTCTGGAATGCTTCATTTCCTTTCTCCTTTTCTCTGGTAGCAAGGATTTTCCTCTCCGTGTCACTCTTTCCTGTAAATGTAGAGAGGAAAAGAAAAGAATCTTGAAAAAGAATTATAATGACAAGGTAGTTATCAAGCAGTATAAATTTGTAGGAGACACAAGCATAATGGTCAGTATTCTGTGTAGATCCTTATGCCTCGCACTAGGCAAGACAATTGTCTCCCTCAGTGCTTCCCTAGACCCATGGCAAAACTGCTTGGGGATAGCATGCCATGAACTGTCTATCAACTGTAGCCCTAATTATGCCCTGCTAGAGAAACTGTTAGAGATAAGTGGCCAGATGGGTTGACTTTACCATACCATAGTTAACAGTGGAGGAGAAGAAGAAAAGAATTGATTAAAGAATGTTCAGTCACTGTTTACTTAGTTTGGCCAACTATCCCCATAGAATACATAAATGAAATGGAATGCCCATGCATTCACCAAGTGTCATACTTCATTTTTTTTAGAGTATTTTACCTAAGTATCCAAGACCACATTGCAGTAATCTAGGATGGAACTTAAACCTGGACCTTTCTATAAAAATTCCAACAAGTTAATCACTACCCCATGTGTCTCGATTTTATTTAGCGACTCATCTTAACCCTTTAACTCCTAAGATCTCATTTGTAATTCTCCTTACTGTCTGCCATACAGTTCTTGTGATGTTAGTTTAGAGAATTTGGTATTGGTCAACTAATAATCCCTTAATTGAGATCTTTCTTGTTTCTTATCACTTGTCTGCTTGATATTGTATTGATATTGTAAGGAGAAATTATGGCTTGGTCACTCATGGGAGTTAAAGGTACTTTAAATAATAATAATGACGATGAAGTATTTATATAGCACCATATCCATCAGCTCATGGCACTTAACAACACTTTGCAGGGGGAATTTGGCCAGACTGTATTGAGCAGTTTACAATTTTTGAATCTGTCAGAGCAGCCTTCAAATTCAAATCTCTCCATTTTGTTTCATATACCTCAAGCATAACTGCACATTACCTGTCAAATCCACATTTGCTGAAATTGCATTCTTGTTGGTTGCCCTCACTTTCTCCTGCTTCTTTTTCTTTTCTTTCTCCTCTTGTTTCTCCAAAGATTCTATCTCCTTATCAGGATCAAATCTTGTGGAATAAAAAGGTAAAAGGACAAACTGACATTGTTGTTAGCATTAATTAGTTCTGAAGCCTCTGAGTATGGAGCAAGACTTACATGCAAAATTTTCTTGAGTGCATTCAGGACTTTCTACCAATAAAAAAAGTCTCTCACAAATCAGGAAATAAAATATACTCTAATGGGAGAAGTAATGGGAAGGAATTAAAGGGAATCATCCCCTAAAATCAGAGAACCTCAGGCATAGACACCTTTGATTGCCAATCACTGCCTAAGGTTAGAAGAAGAGGTGATATTATCACTTTTCTTGTGAAACCAGAACTCCTCCATCAGCTGTTAGAATATAATCCACCAAGAGTTTATATCTGAAGACAGTGGCATTGAACTGGCAAATCCTGCCATGCAGGAAAGCAAAGTGTGAAGATTTGCAGTGCATCACATCACAGCCAATGATGCAGATGGATGCAACTGAAGTAGCCTGTAACATTTCAAGCAGTTTTCATTTACCTGTCCCATTCATGATAGCTACGTGGTGTCACTGGCTTCTTCTTTTCAGCTGTAGGTTTTTGAGGCTGCTAATGAGAGAGATGGGCCAAATTATGCTAAAATCATTCATGGATGATATCATTTATGTAAGCAATCAAAGTGGGGAAAAAAAAGGGTTACAGTGTGCTCCCTTAACAAAGCTTTCTGACAACCCTGTCTACAACCATGGGTATGAGATCCTGACTAAAATGTTCATATCCTGTAGTGTGTTATAAAAATCATTCCTTAACATATGCAAAGAATTCCACACAATATTTAAACAAACCTCAGCAGGAGGTTTTTCACTTCTGACTGCTGTTCTAATAGGAGGAAGATTATCATTTTCCATTCCTTTAGTTCCACCTAATTTCTTCAATGCCTCATCCTCTTCATTGATATTTGCCATCCAATCCTGCAAAAAAAATGGATAGCTTGGGATTAGCACAGTGTGAGAGAAAACTACCATCTGATCGTTTCCTGCAGTGAAATACTCTGTCCGGTATTTACATTTCCAAAAGCTCTAGATGACCCATATTTCAACTACTACCATCTAAAGCTACAACAACAGGAGCAGGGCTCCAAGAAGTGCAAAATGTTTAGGTTACAGGTACAAACTGATTTAAGGCCTGTATTTGCAAGGGTAGTGAATCAGAAATGTAATGAGGCTCTCAAGCCCAGTATTTACCCCATATCTTACAAAAGTCATAATCAGGAACACAGCCATAAGATACATATGATCAAACCATTCCACATTCTTAGGTTCCTAATATAACTCAAAATGAAGTTACAGGAAGCCAAAAAATAAGCTAATGGCAATACCTAGCTAAGAATTTGACAGGCCTGGATTTGAGTGATTTGATTCCAACCTTTGTAATTTGCATTTCATAGTCTGGACTAAGATTACTTATTGCTGGAATCCACCTCTGTGAGTGCAAACCCTTCATTGACATGTGGGTGAAAACACTAAGAACAAGACACAAACCTGCAAGTCATCTGTTATCTCCTGGTGCTCTGATTTAGTCAAATCGCGATAAGTGTTGATGGGGAGTTCTTTACGAAGACTCTTGCTATCAGAGAAAGAAAGAGATTGAGAGAAGGGAACTAAGATATGTCTCATACAATAGGGATTTATCAACAAAAATAGCAGCACCATTTCAAATGTATAACAAGAAAATAACAACATTAATTTCAAGTAGACGCCACAGATAAAGATTTCAGGGATACAATGTAGTTATCTGCAGTCTAACTCCATTCTCTAGGCCACTTACCACCATCTGTTAGGTTGGATTTCCATGACCTCTTTAGTGAACACAGCCCCTCCAGTCAAACATCCTCAGTCTGACTTACAAAAGAAGGTTATTAGAGTTTGCTAAACTCACCTTTTCGGATTTACCTTCTGTAATCTTTCCTCTGTGAATTTGATAAGCTCTGGATAATGGCCTTCCTCGCCAGACCTGAAATTCAGCAAGACAAAAGAGAGGGAGGGGAAGAAGTCAGTGTCTGCCATTAGAAGATCAAAACATTTCTTTCCTGCTATGGCTGAATTTCAATCCAACATATTGTTCAAATTATTGAACCTTGTACCCAATGGGAGGAAGGAAGAAGGAGGAAGGTGGGAGTTTGGTATAAAGGAGGAGAAATATGTCTATTTAATGATATGGAGTACCTCACAACTCCCTTGAACTCACAAGATCTGACTACTTCAGGAGTGTAACCAGGATTTTTCAAAAGGGGGGTGGTGTCACACCATGTCGAAGACTGTTATGTCAACCTCCATGTCATGTTTTACTCTATGTGACAAAAATGACTTACAAGAGGGGGGTCAGGGGCACCCCAGGGACCACCCTTCATATACCCTTGTACTTATTCTCCTATAATATGGCAAGACATTGACTCAAACTTAAGTCGAAAATATGGTGCTTAATCAAGCTTCTGCCCTTGAACTGATAAGTGTGTAGATTCTCATGACCAGTTTACTGTATAATGCATTGAAATTTTAGGGAGAGAAGTTGTATGCTAACCACAAAAAAGTGTTTGAGGCTTTACACGCACCTCAATCATAGGATGGGGAGAATTGATCGTTGATCAGATCTTAACACGATGCAAACCGGAAATAGATGCAACAATCAAAAACAGTTTCTTACCGCAAAACTCTAAGAATCTTTTCCAGTTCCTTGCTTTTAGAACACTTTTCTATGTATCCATAGTCCAGGTGCTCAATGGGTACTCCAGATGTAGTAGGAGATCCCTCCAAAAGTCCCGAACTAAAATCTTCCCCCATGACCTCGAATATATCTGAAATAAAGTAGCAACTCCAACTTTGTATGGTCTGAACAAAATATTAAGACTACAGGTTCACTAAGATAAGTTTAAGATTAAAAAAGTGTAGCTTTAACCTTGTAAAAGTAAAAAAATGAAATCTCTACACTTGCGGTTCAAAAGTGTATTTCGCTTGCACTTCCTGAAAATATTGACAAACAACCCATGTGCAAACTACAGGTTATACTCTTAACTAAGACCTCTACGCTCACCTTTTGTCACAATCTGTTCATACTTCTATTAATTTTAATTCGTTGACTGCATAATTAGCCGAACTCGTTCACGTCTCTACAAACTTTTTAGTGGCAACGAACTCAAACCTTCAGGTATCTAAAGCGAGCCCGCGAAGCAACCATGTGTATTTCTTTTGCCTCATATGATTGGTTAAATTTACCAACCTATCAAAGCTATCCAATCATATCTCGCGACATATCTGGAAACCGGTGCTAGAAAAAAAATTTGAGCCAAAATTATTTCTCTTACTACCTTTGTTGCAACCGAGTGTGTTAGTGGCTGCGAAAGTCGATTAAATTGATTTCTCGTTTGAAAGTCAACATGAGTGCGGCCATGCTTTGTGAATCCATCTGGGTCGACAGGCCTAAATATGAGGAGGCAGAAGCACATTATCAAAGATTTCTCGCCGGAACTGTCGGCGGATCACATGGCACAGAGAAAAAGGTGATTAAAATATATTTCTCCCTACATAAATCTTGATTTTAATAGTTAATTGTACATGTACACAAGGAATCAACAAGATGTTGAAATTGAATTTTCTAGATCTGACGCATTTTGGGCTTGCCAGACTCCACGCGTCTGAACATTGTCATAGTTGAAGCAAATATATTAAAATTATTTTGTAAGCTTGCAAATTAAATTGCTACAGTGAGTGATTGAAAAGGCTTCTTTTTTCAAGAGAGGATACATAAGCAGTTTGGCATCTTGAAACAATCACGTACAGATGTACACTGCAGAATTTCTCGTTTTACTAATTTCCCTCACTCCCTCGGCCAGAGAATGTACGGAAATGGGTACAGTGCATGTACTAAAGAACGCGAGATAATTTCTTGGAGTTTTAGACATAAATATTTTGGACGCACCCGTGCACTAATTGCATGTATTGCATATGTAATACTTAAGTCAATTTAACTCTCTCATACAACGTTACTCATTGCATTATGGTTGCAAATTTACGGTGTACATGTTGATCAGACACATGCAGCGTGTAATCAAATCGCTCTGACGAAGGGCCAACGCTCGAAACGTCAGCTTTTAAACTCTTTTCAGTGGCCAATTAAAACTAATTAAAACTAAATAACCTTGTTATACTCTCCTGCCAACGCAACACCACAGTTTCTTAAGAAACTAACCCCTATTTATAATTATTCAGTGTGTAAATTAGTTCTTCAAACAGTTAACTGATTGGTTGTGGTTCAGATTTTTCTGTGAGATGGAAAGAATGTGAGATTGAAGTTCACACCTTTCACCTTCAAGAGTGATGAGCATCTAATTTCTCCATACAGTATCACTGTGACTCACACTTATAGGTTGAAAGAATAAAGGAAATGATCACCAACAAAAGAATACACCAGCAAATGAGTGCACATTTCTCATAGTCTTGGCATGCATTCAGAATTTCACTCACCAGTAATTCCATACAGTCTCTCTTTTCTCCTCACTGTCTTTCATTCCCTTTCTTCTCTTTGCATAGTTTTAACATTCTAATTTCCATTTCTGTTCTTTCCAACTTTTCAAAACTAATTCTGTTTTCTCTCAGGGTTCAAGCTTTTCTCCAGTCCAAGAGATAGCAAATGCCCGTAAAAAAATCCAACAGACTCTAAACACGGTAAGCTAATGTTTAGCTTGCCCCATCTTTACAAAGAGTCCATTTGGTTTTCCAGCTCAACTCCTAATTTGACTGGTGATCTGAATAGTTAGTCTTCCTTTATCTTACAGTAATTTTCTATAGCTAAGACCAAATTAGATGATTCTGTGTCTTTGACTCAGATCATTTAACTTTCGAAATAAATGATAAGAAGGAAAGTCCAAGCAACAGGATTCTGCCAACTGTTAGTCTCTTACCAAAAACCCAAGAGGTTTGGCCAAATCCTGGTCACAGTTCCTCCAAGATTTTGTTTGCTAAGGTTCTTTGAGAAGCAAGAACTCTGTCAATGATCCTGACAGAAAAGTAAATGAATTTGATGGGCAAAAGACTTGATATGCTAGTGTGTCTGGTGTTGCCCAAATTCTGGATTTTGAGCTGTTTTATCAGCAGATATTTTCATCAAGATTTGTGCCAGATTTTGCTCCTGGCAATTTGATGTCAATTTTATTGGTTTTGAGATGATTTTTATTACTCACTGTTTAGCCATCATCCTATGTGATTCTTTTAAGGCTCTAACTTCCACAACGGCTTCTGCTGGAGGAAATAATCGTATTACTCAGTTAGAGGAAGAAAACCACGAACTTAAGAAAGGTATTATTGTCATTATTATTCAAACATTGCAAGAGGAGATGAAAGTTTTTATGGCAGGTCCCTCCCCCTCCCCCAGCAATTTCTGTATCCATCTATACTTTTAAGTAAAGAGAGGTACTGTAAGAGAGATTAGTAACTTGTCAAGAACACAATGCAGCAATCTGGTGAGGGCTCAAACTCAGATCTCTCAATTCAGATTCCATCAAACAACCAAGCTTGTTATCCACCCTGGAGTGAAGACCTGTCCCATAATTCTCCTTGTCACTCAACTCTGCCTGGCCCTGCACCATTTTTTCTTAAAACTGAAGCAGCAATCCTGCATAAATATGTTTGTATTATTATTATATTATTATAACATATAGGTATTGGATGACATCCTCCAATTACTGAAATACAATATATGTTGTGATTGATCTTCCCCAGTCACCGAAGAATTAAAGACTGCCCTTCAGAAGCTCACACTACGAGTTGATCAAATTGAAAAAGGTAATAACATTTGGCAAGTTATCTCAACTAATGAGTAGATGGCTTGTTCTTATCTTAAGCATATTATTATCTAGGGCACACCAACAACATCAAATATATAGTTAACATGTGAGAGTATTGCTCCCTGAATTCGCCAGCAATTGAGTGAAGCTATAATATTTCTATATTGCTAGACAAACATATTGCCTGTAAAAAAAAAGAGGAAATTAGCCATACTATGCAGATTCTCCTTTTTTGATATTTTTTATATTTATATATATATATTTTTTTAATATTTTTGTATATTTTCTTGTTCTGTTTATAGGAAATAAACCACAAGGATCAAGTCAGCCATCAAAAGTAAGAAAGTAAAGTTTCAGAAAAACTTACAGAGTAGGCAGTAATACAAAGTCATGTATTTGCTGTGCTATCATGTGTCAGTTTACAGTTAGCATTTCATTTAACTGTTTAACCCCTAAGAGTGACTAGCATCAAATTTCTCCTTGTAATTCATCACTGAATCACATATTAATGTCATGAGAATAAAGGAAATGATCACCAACTAAAGAAACTCTTGATTGTAAGACAAATTCTTCTTGTCAGCAACTCAGTAAATGTACAGAGAACAGTGTGGAGAACATGAATACTGATGTTAGGGTGTAAAGGGTTAAGGTTATTGTCTCTATATTGCATGCACAGCAGAGATTTTTCAGGTTTGATAAACACGGCTTTCAGACTCTTAGAGGCAGCAATTACCAAAAGGGGTCATAGGTCAACCTCTTTCCAGCCCTTCATTCTGATTAACCCTTTGTCTCCAAAGGTCTGATTGTTAATTCTCCCATCTAGCTGATACACATTTTCTGGTGAATTAAATACTAAAATTTTATGATGGATCAAGTTAACAACTTCTACCTGATAAGTTTGAGTATTCTCATTACCTGTCTGTTGGATAATGTTTGGGTATTATAGGGAGAATTAACATGTTCATGACTTCTGGGACTTAAAGGATTAACCTGACTAGAATTTATCACTTTTTTTCCTTTCCTGCATTTCAGCCTCAGATGAAGGAGGAATTCAAGGAAGATGAAGATGATGAGGACTTTGACTTGTTTGGCTCAGATGATGATGAAGATGAAGAGGTGATTTTCTTGATGTCTTGTTTTAACTCTTAGAGCCTTAAGAGTTGCTTGCATTGTAATTTCTCCTAACAGTGTTATCCCTGGATCAAACTTTAAGGTAATGAGAATAGGGGAAACTATCACAAATTAAAGAAACTCTTGTTTAAAAAACATCTCCTTGTCAGCACAGTAGGAACTTTATGGAGAACAGTATGGTGAATATGGATACTGACGTTAGGGTATAAAGGGTTCAAGAAAATTGAATGAGGTTTTGAGGAAATCCACTTTAAAAGAGGGCATTTTTTTTCTATGTGCTTGGAATCTTAGGAATCTGAGTGAAAACAAGGAAATTAGAAAAGGAAACTTCACTGCAGGACAGTTATGCATTTAGCCCTTAAGATAATTGCTAATTTTTAGTACAATAAAGAAATTGCAACTATTATGACGTGTCAGATAATATGTGTGATATTCTTTACTTATCTAAGTCTTGACCCAAGTTCACAGAACACTGTGTTTATCTGATGGCTCAGGAGTTATATCTTCCAGTTATAGAACAAGCCGTAAACTCATGTTTTTTCTTTGATTTCACAGGAAGATGAGGTCACAAAAGAAAGACTGGCACAATATGCAGCTAAGAAAGCAAAAAGTAAGTTGTTTTTTTTTACAGGAGGCCAAAAGTTGTTGTTTTTGTAGTGACTGGTTATTGCCTGGACATATCTCATGGGTGAGGTACCACTCCATCCCAAGTAGAACTTTTTATTTCATTTAGGTTTTCAGACTATTAGTACACATTTAAACTATTAGATTCAGAGAGGCCTTATTTAAGGCTAATGGGGTTTGAGCCACACAACAGAATGACCTGGCTCAGAGTCAAATCTCTATTTCTAAATCTGTGGTTGTGTGCACCAGTCACCACTGACAGCATATCATACTAGCAGTGTGCCTTGTCATTCCAATCTCTCTCAAGAGAAAGGCATTACCAAGAAATTTCCTCCTGTACTGAACCTTGTAATCTGATGCACTGAAATCCTTATTCATGTCTTATGCTAATAGCTTGATTGTGCATTTTTATTTTAGAACCAGCACTAATAGCAAAATCAAATATCATATTGGATATAAAACCGGTATGATGATACGTAAATGTTATAAATTTGTAATGGGGAAGATCATTGTTGTTGAAAATTAATATTTTCTGTTTTAGAAGCTATGGGTTGTACAAGTAATCATGTAGTTCAAATTAGCCCAAAATAGTGTGAAGTCTCTCAAAATGAGGAGTTTTTAGCCCTGTAACCCTTTAACTTCCAGAAGTGATTAACATGTGACTTCTCCCTACAATATCGAAACATTAGTCAGCAAACAGGTCATGAGAATATTCAAACTTACCAGGTAGAAATTGTTATCTCAATCTAAAACCAAGGTCTCGTAACTTATTTACAAGGAAATGTGTAATAGCAAGAAGGGAGAATTAACTAACAGATCTTGGGAGTTTAGGGGTTAAAGTATTTACTTTGCTCTTCAAATTGAGATAAGTTTTGTACAAAGTCGAGCCAGCAAATTTAACTTGTGTAGTTATCCCAAGTTCAAGTCTCTTGCTTGAGTATTTCAGTAACCAATTGATCCACCCCTCAGTCAGCATCTTAAGCCAAGTTGTGTTTATTTGAATAGTTTTTTCATTATTTGTTCATTTGGGCCCTTAGAGGCCCTATTGAGGAAGTAGTATATTATGTGATTGTTATTATCATCATCATTCTCATCATTTTATTTTCATTATAATTATCACTATGGATATCACTCTCATCATCATCATCATTGTCATCATTATCATTATTAGTGTTGTGGTGTTTTAACTGTATTTATTCCTTCATTCTTTTTTTGCTTAATTTTCCTGTCACAGTGGGATGATGAAACAGGTTTGTTTTATATACCTTATAACTTGCTTGCATGAGTCAGCTAGGCAACAGGGAATTAAATTTGACGTGGCTAGATCAAGTTTGACTACACTACTTTTTAACCAGTAAAATCTCCTAGGCCAGAAATTTTGTACTCTCCTCCCTTATGACTGTTCCAGTATCTGAGGTTTCATTTCTAGTAGTTTCTAACATGAAATCAAAGGTGCTATTGGATGAAATTTCTGTTTGGATCCATGATCATTTTTTTCATGTTTTGTGTGTGAAATTGGGTTGTATCTATTTCTCTGCCATTTCTTAGCTTTAACTCATGAAAAGTTGTATGTTGTCAAATAATTGTAAGAAGCATGCTTCAAATTCAAGTCACTCTACTACAATTTTCTCTAGAAGTGAAAAATGATTACAGCTTGGTAGTTGGTTAGTCAGCCAGTCAGTTAGGGATTGCGGAAAGGTACATGATGATTGACACTTCTTTATCCTTTCCTGTGTCCAGATATTGTTGCCATGGAAAAGGCTGTTCGTTCAATTGAATGTGATGGATTGGAGTGGCAAGCAAGTAAGTTTAATATTAATTCTGGGAAAAAAGAATGGTTGATCTGTTATACATTCACACCATGGGACATAATGTATTTTTGTCATTTGATATGAAGTATATCAGTTGATGTGATAAGCTGCACGGGAGATGAGGAGAGTTCTGCTGCTGAGTAAAACCTTACACTTTGTTCCTAGGTAAGATTATGCCTGTAGCATATGGCATCAAAAAACTTCAGATCTCTTGTAAGGTTGAAGATGAGAAATGTGGTACAGATTTCCTTGAGGAAAAAATCACAGAGATGGAAGATTTAGTAAGTATAATTACATGTATTTTATATTCTTTTTATCATTATTGTTATTGTTGTTATTATCTGCAGATGAGAGAGATTGTTGCAGTTATGAACACTACTTTAATTAGCAGTTTTAAAAATACAAACGGTACAAGCCTGAATTTTTTTTTTCAAGCTTTATTTTCACCTGTGCTTGAGTAGTGTTTATTACTGCAATGATCACTTTCGTCTTCATTGATTAAGTCACAGTTCAAATATATGAAATACATGTATCCACAGTCATTTATCATTATCATTATTATAAGTTGCAATAGTTTTTTACTATTTCTATGACTGTCTAGGTGTAAATGGAATCTTAAGATTGGGGAGGAATCAAGATGATAAAGGAGTCTCCACCACACCCTACTCCCTTTTCCTAAGGAATCTCCACGGCATCCTACACCCTTTTCCAAAGGAGTCTCCACTAAACCTTACCCCCTCTTCCCAAGGATTCCACACCACACCACACCCTGCCCCCTCTTCCTAAGGAGTTTACAGCATACCCTACGCCCTCTTTCGTGGCCAAATTCCCTGCCACACCTGCCAGAAATTATTCCACGATTTCTTTTGTCTGTCTTAAGCCGGCCTTGTTGAAATTTTCATTGGTATGTATATATTTTTTTTTCTTCATTTTTTTTTGTGCGCCTTGCAGGTTCAAAGTGTGGATGTCGTGGCTTTCAACAAGCTCTGAACTACTGAATTATGCCTGTGAATTTACGCAGCAATCGAATAAACTTCATTTAAATTCAATCGATTAGCATTTTATTGTTTGCCTTAATACGTAGATGGCAACATTTGCCCCCTGAGCTTTTATCAACACCTGTTTAGATGGAGGAGTTGCGTATCGGCCGCCAGTTGTCCAACCTAATATTCAAGCGTTTCAATTGCGATCCGTTTAACCCTTTACACCCTAACACCAATAGGCATATTCTGCATTTTTTTCTCTATACATTTCCTAAGTTGCCAACAAGGAGAATTCGTTTAACAATAAAGAGCTTTTTTTTTGTTGGGATCATTTCCTTTATTCTCGTGACCTTAATGAGTGATTCGTGGGTGATATTGTGAGGAGAAATTAGTTTCCAGTCACTCTTGGGAGTTCAGTTCTCTTGTCCTCGTTCTCCTTTGTCTCTACTCACCTATCTGGTGTTTCTCTTCCGTCCAAACTGATAATTTAAGGGCGTCTTTCTGTAACAGTAACAACGACCAAAAAAACCGGGCGACGAAGCTCAATGACGAGACTCGGCTCTCTTCGGTTATTTCCGGTTTGGTTCGACGGCGATCAAGTGCGAGACCAAAACGCTTTTGGACAACTACCAAAAACCAAAGTTATCACATGACCTTATGAGTAAAGGGGTTAAGTTTCTAAAGAAAATGTGGTGCTGCTCCGGTGGGAGAGTATAATAGGGTAATTTAGTATTATCAACAGAGGTAATAACGTAAATTGACCACCGTAAGAGTTTCAAAACTGATATTTCGAATGTTGGCTCTTCGCCAGAGCGATTGTAATTCTTTACGGTGGCCAATTTACGTTATCAACTCAGTTGGTAAATTACCCTCTCAAAACACGACGATTTCATAGGGAGCCAATGAAAATTCACAAGTGATCGACGCCTGGGAAAATCCGAATGAATACTTCGCTTCAGGTTTTAATGATTGACGAAATGATTCAATTTCAAATAGTTTCTAATTTCCCCACCCCTCTTCCTGATTTCCTTATGAATTTTGGGAAACATCTTTTTTGTTAAAGGGCATGTAAACCCAAAAATACATGTTTTTCTCATACTATGTAAAAAGTGGCGTAGAGAACGAATCTGAAATTCGTTTTGTCCAATTCGACTTATTTTAGGAGAAAATCGGCATTTTCAACTGAAATTCCATTTTCAGTAAAAACAATAGCGAGAGTCGTGACGTAAGCGGTGGAACTAATATTGCGCAACACATATTCCCTGGTAGAACTGGTGTGGTAGCTCGTGTAAGTAGCGGTAGTTCGAAGATGTTTTTCAGAAGATAGCGACTCGAATGCCCTAAGCTTAGTATATGACGGCGATGGGGATGGTCTAGAATCTTTAGGAGAGTCTGGGCCACGTCCTTTACAATATGAGCTGCGTAGGGTTCACCAAAGCGATCCGCACGAACACAGTGTTGACAGCGATGCGACCTCCTCGGAAACTCAGACTGGTATCTAATTTACTCTGTGATTTACTTGTATTTGATATGAAAATCCAATAAAGCAAGGGCACAATCTAAAAGAATGCAACAGAAATTTTTTAAACCCGCTGAGCTTCCGAGGGTGTTTTGTATAAAATTGTCAAAGGTGCGAGTGTGGAACTTGTCAACCAATGCCGACAACTCGTGAAAGTGTTTGTTGTACGGAAATCGGGCAATTGTGGCAAAAAGTAGAGGAGCGAGGATCTGAAACCCAGATAAGTTGTATCAGTGAGTATCCAGGTTTTTAGTCAATTTGCCTCGATTTCTGGGTGCTAGAGACGGCCTATTACACGTACAGGCAGCAGTAAGGCACAGAGAATCACACCGGAAACGAGTAAGCTAAATGTTTTCCGTTTCATCTGTTTCGTTACATTTTGAGATCGATTTGCTTGAGTTGTTTCTGTCATTGATTTAATAATACCGTACTACAGCTAGCTGTTTATAGTTCCAAATAATTTGCTTCTGGTAGGGCCTGAATTGTCGGTACAACACCAGGAAGAAAAATGACAGCTACAAACAACAGAATGTTCGAACGGCTCGACGAAATCGGCTATTTTCATTTGAACAAGTTTCACAAATTGTGGCTTCAAATTTGCGTCATTTGGAAATATTTGCGTTGTATGCTCAGTTTTGTTTGAATCAGTACAAAACTGGACGACACAACGCTTTACCATTATGAAAAAACTGAGTATAGAAGCAAACTGTAAGTAAAAAAATCGTGACGAGACCGGCAAACAACGGCTGTGGAAAAGACTCCGTGTCTCACGCGATTATTAAACGAAACTTTGTAGGTTCCACCCGTGACGTCACAAGAAAGATGGCGCCATTCAAAATGGCGAATGTTTTGAATTTGGAAGAGCTTTTTCAAAGTGAAAATGGACTTTTGAGAAAAAACGAATGGCACCTTTGGTGTACTTGATATATTTACTAAACATCTATGTGAAAAGAAAATGAACGTTTTTTGGGTTTACATGCCCTTTAAGTTCACATGTAATTCTTGAACGAAAATCACAGTCACGCAGACTGAGTTATGTTTCGTACTTTATTGCATATTGAACAGAACTTGAGATATCCAATAACTTACGATAGTTTTCCTGAAATCCCTTTATACTTTATTCTTTATTCTTTTTTAAATACCTCTCCCTGCTAAGTAACTTATGACTTTTCCCCGAATAAACTAATGCATGTCATTGATTGGCTGATTATATAAGGAATTCTACCTTTGTGTTTTTTTCACAACAATTCTGAATTGAACAGAGCAGCGCCAAGGGTCCAACCCAAACTAAACCCTTCCAATGTGTTGCCAACCATGATAGTTTTGTGAGCAGACAAGCGGTAACCGTGGGTGAGAAGCTCAAAAACGAAATTGCCTCCGAAGCAATGATCTTTGGCATACGGGTTGCTGTTGATGCTCTCTAGTGTTTTAGCGCAAAAATCTCGCGATCCCTTATCAAACATGGCTGGTGAGAGGGGTTTGGTGCAATCGGAACACAATATCCCGATGGTCGTGGCAGCGTAATATATCCCAGCAAAACCAAAATAATTCCCGCGTAATTTGGGCTGATCATGAAACGGGCAATCACTCTTTTTGCAGAAAAACGTTTTCTCAATAATCCTTCGACAGGCGGGAACATTTGCAATTCCTACGACGGTGAATAATTCACCACTGATATCAGTTGTTTCATTGAAACCTTTATGGTGACACGGACTTTTGATAACACCATTTTTGAAAGGTTTCTTTGGCAGTCGTTCAAGGTATGTTTTGCGAGCTTCATTCAACCCATACCCTAAATAACTTCTGGCAAAAAGATTAAATTTTTTACCTCCCACATTGATTGAATACAAATCATCCTTCTTTCGCCAAAATTGGACAGCATTTTGATGGGAAGCCCCGCCCAAATCCAATATCCCGTAGGTATGGTGGGATTTCCCTGGGATAAAATTCCCCTCCAAAAAATTAACAGACATCCAGGCATAGATCCCTTCAAGTGCCCCCGAGATCACTCTGGCGTCTTCAGGGTCAAACATAAATGGACATTTAGTTTTATCGTTCAAGACTCCCTTTACTTGGTCCATAATCGCCTTAGATTTATCTTCATCCAGCAGTCTCATTCCTCCAGTGGCGAGGAAGAATAGATGCGTGCTGGAGTGTTTTTCCGCTGGTATTGTCTTCATCGCTGAGTCCAGTAAGGGTCGTAGATATGCCTCAACTTCCGATGGGTCCAGGTCGGCGATACCTGGTTTTGCTTTGCTTGGTGAAGGATCAAGTTCGTGCACGTCTGCTACTTCCAACGGGGGCGAGGCGACGTCAATCTTGTAGATCTCAAGCTTTGTTTTGGTAGAGCCTGCATCAAACATAATGACGTACTCAGTTTCGTCTTGTACCACGCGACTGCCTAATCCGCAGACCAGCATGCTTGATAGGCTCATCAGTAGCAAGATAAGGTTACCTTGTCGTCGACCCATTTCCTTGCTGCAACAATACTATTAGGATAAAATGAAGCAAAACTTATACAATACTGTCGCATGCTTAGAATAAAGTCCTCAAAGCCAAGTGTAAACCCCATGTAGCAACCATAGCTAAGTAGGTCCATTAAAGGCGGGGCAGAGGATGTTTGGGGATCACATAATTTTCAGGAGGAACCGAGTGGGGGATCAGTAGTCGCCAACAGAATTTAAAGGGAAGACGGATCAATATCAGTATCTGGGCAACTGCCCACCTACCCCTCCCCTAACCTAACATTAACCTTAAATTGTTGTCAATTGATTGTTGTTGAGTTAGGGGAGGAGTAGGCGGGCAGTTTCCCAGATACTTATTTTTTTCGGGAAGACCATAGAAAATCGACTTTCCAATTAATTGCTAATGAGGGGGAGGGGGTCGGGGTCATAAGAATATTACAGAGCCCCCTCCCCCCCTCTCCCAAGCGAAGAATAATGACCAAATGCTTTGGTGTATTTTGATCACTCCTCTTCGTAACCAAAAGTTAGCAGCTCTACTCACCGATTTTTTTTTTGTTAACTCCAAAGCTAAAAAAAACCTTTTTGTAAAAGTTCTTCCCAAAAAATAGTGGCCAAGTGACTTGCTGAGGTGAAATGGTATTTCACTTTCTAAAATGCACGTGACATGTTTTCGAAACTACAGGTTTTCCAAAGGGAAGTCATTTCAGCACTACAGGTGTAAAAATGTGAGAACAAATGATGACCTAAATATTGAAGCCGATGTCTTACCTACATCCGGTAATTCTGATTCCAGAGAGATTTTTCGGCAATGACTGGATAACTTTTTGTAATCAACCGTTAAGATTTTGGCCATTTGACGGTTGAAACATCGAGACCCTTAGAAAACGTTTTGTTACAATAAGAAACTAAAATTTTTAACTCTTTTGTGATATCTGTTAATATACGTCGCATAAATTCGACGAAATGTTTGCCTTGGGGGTTAATAGGCAATGAAATGTCCAATTAGAATGTCTTTGATCCTTGATAAATACCTGTTGGAAAGCTCTTATAGTAAACCAATCGTGTAACTAAGTGTAAATGAGATAGCACAAACCCACTGAGACCCAGGAAATTAGAACAACATAACCACGAAGATATTAAACAAAACAGAACAGGAAGACAACTTACAATTTGACTTTAACCAAGTGTTTTAACGAGTGCGCTCTCCGACTATCACTGTTGGTCTTTAGAGCTTGTAACTTCCTTTAAATGTTTTGCTGTGATAACAAATTGAGGGACAATAGTTCATTATCACTCTCTTATAATTATCCACCGCCAATAGATTCAACGCTGAGTTATGTATCAAAACGACAGTTACCTTTAATGTAAATTAGGCAAAAAACTTACCGGATCAGTTATCATGAACTTGGAAGAAATTCTCAAGCAACTGATAACCTAAAATTAAATTCAGATATTTAAATTTTATATTATCAACCGAGTTGAAAATTGGCTACCGTAAAGGCTTCGAAAGCAACGGTGGCAGTTTACATTATCAATTCAGTTGATAAAACCTGGTTATTTTTTTACACTCCTACCGCCGCAGCGCAGGTTCTTTCGAAACTTACCCCTTGCTTAAATATAAAATTTAGCTTTCTCGTAAACTTAATTAGTGATTTCAGTTGAATAAACTTTCATGGAAATTGAACCGCCCTAGTAACTTAGCTTTTGATTGACTCTACGTATACGTGCTGCCGATTAGAAGAACGAATGATTACAGGGTGACAAAAACATCAATGCTAAACCGAACAGTTTTTTCTTTGTTAATTAATGAGCTCTAATTTTTTCGTGCAGCTGGTGAGCAGAATTTCGTAATTTATTCCAGTTGTGTTTGAACTGTACAACGTCACAGAATGGGAATCGATGATGAAATTTACGGTCTCTGCAAATACAGCTGTGGAGCAGTGTGTTAAATGTTACAGTTGTCAATTAAGGAGAAATATTTTTACTTGTCTCTTTCCTGTCTCTTGAGAATTAGTGAAGACGGTGTCCTTCTACGATAATTAAAACGGAAAAATCATCCATACATGGCAGTGGCAAACGGCAAAAATATTTACACGATAAATGTCAAAATTGCAGACACAATTTCACATGGTTTCACTTTCATTGAGAGTGTAATTACTCTCAGATGTGTTTTCGACACATATGAGATTATTTGGTCTCATCAACTGAGTAGATAGTGTAAATTGGTCACCATAATGAGTTCCTAAAGTTGATTTTTAGGCGTTAGCCCTTCGTCAGAGCGACTGCCTTTTTACGTGCTCTCGTAAGGTTGAATAAACCTAATTACAACAAAAATTTCCTACAAAAAAAATAGAGGAAAGGTAAATGTTACAAAAGAAAAAGGCTAATTAGGTATTAATCAGGCAAATTCAAATGGTCTTCACCTATCTTTGATACTGCACAAGCATGCAAGTGCGCCATGATATCATCCTAAAATTTGGGAAGTAGACTGTCTTAAATTATTGAGATCAAATTGCAACAGCATAAACGTTTTCTTTACAACTGAAAGTACTTTTATCTTAGAGAGCAACAGCAAGGGTAGGTTGAAACTAAAACAGAAATAAGAGTTAAGTAACCTAATTTTGTAACCTAGTAAACCAAATACAAACAAAAAATGGATACAAACTAAGCGAAACGGAAAAAATTCAATACTTACATTGATAACGCCTAACTTATATAACTGCAAAATCGACTTCTATAACAGAGAACGGCGCTAAGCGCGAATTTAGGTAAACTGACTCAAAAAGTGATTTTTGCGTAGAAGAAACTGGCTCTCTATCTGAAGAGGACTGCAAAATGACATGCGGTATAAGGAACGTGCGAAAAGGTGTAACTAACGAAGAAAAAAACGCTAACAAACTCAACAAACAACGCTAACGAGGAGGTGTGAAAAAATAAGGAACCAATTAGATAAATAAGAGCTCCACGAAAAATAATCAAGAAGCGCTCAGATCTTTCACTGATAAAATTACATTTTAAATAATAATTATTTCTTAATAGCTTTTAAGGTCCTGATAAGGAAATTGATATGCTAATTACAGGTCAATTACCCTATTTCATCAGGCCTGGTATTTCCTTCAATAAGCGTCCACGCTCTAATTTTGCCTTGCAAACTAAGCACATCTTTGCAACTCTCCAATTAGCACCTACAAGCTATTTTTTTATTTTGGGAAAATATATTACCCATCATACTCAATTACTCTGAAGTACAGTTTGAAAGAAGGGCTTTCCTGGGAACTAGTCTCCAGTATGCAATGAAAACGAGGCTTGATTCGAAGCTTTCCCGCCATCACTGGCTGTGGTTCGTATTTTATGCAATGGCTTGCTGAGTTGTTGCCCATTCTTAAAACAGGTGAGAGAATGGGGATACTTTAGAACATCAAGAGCAAATGAACATTTCATTCAAGATAAACAGAAAAAGATCACGGCCTAGCTACACCAGTAAAACGAAACTGGAGCCTTAAAACTTTCCTATCGATCAATGCATATCGACAGCTCGTGAGCTCTCGGAATTTTTTCGTGTACGTTGAATGGGATACAAGGCCAACTAATGAGTGAGGTATCAAGTTGAATTGAAAATTGAAATTTTTGCAGGATAGAGAGATCTAGTGTCGATTAGTGAGGAATCTGATCGCAAGGTGGTTACGAACAAAAGTAAATTGAAGAAATATGAACGGTACTGTGTATATTGAATGATTAGTCCCTAACGTCAGTATGCAGATTCTCCATACTGTTCTCTATACATTTCCTCAGGTGCTGACAAGAAGAATTTGTTTAACAATCAAACGCTTTAAGGAGTGATCGCTTCTCGTGACCTTGATGTGAAATAAGATACTAGTCACTCTAAGAGGTCAAATGGTTGATCGACATCAGTAAGCTTGATCGATTCATATTGATTGAAATCCACTGGTTTCAGCTCGTGGATTTTCACACACTGATCAGGAGATGTTTTAGAGTCATTTTAAGATAGTATCAATACCTTACTTTATGTTTGTTTTCTTTCTTTAATTTTCTTTTTTAGTTGTAGAGATGCAGGCAGGTGGAAAATATCCCAGCAATGAAGATGGAAGAGTTTATTTTTTCTTTCCAAAAATGGGGTATCCCTCAGGGAACTTCCATGAGGTGGGTGGGAGAGACAAGGAGGTGAAAATCACTTGCTTCCCTTACACTACCCTCAAAATTAAACCTCCTGTACTTTCAATTTGAACCTCAACCTCTGCAGATTAATGATTACTGTATGATAAATCTTGCCATTTTTTTCAAACTTTGTGCCCTTTGACAGTTCCTGATTCCTTCTCTTCCTGCACCCCTCTCAGTCCTTATTTTCCTGCAACCCCTCTTTCTGGCTTTCTCGTCCCCTTCCACCCTCATCTGTTTTTTGGCAAAATGTTATACCACACTGTATCAGAGCAGATGCATATGGTTTACAGTGATATGTTTCTATTTTGAGGACTTCTCGTCAGAAGACAATGATAATGGAGCCTGTCTTCTTTCTAGATTATCACAAAATATGTCAATGCACTGCTGAACACAAAGGGAGGTGTCTTGGTGTTTGGAGTTGACCCTGTCTCTTGTAAGTGTCTGGTGCTGTTAGCCTAAGGGTATTTTTTTTTTATGTAAATGAAACATTCAATTTGATCAGCAGGTCCATTCAAAATTTCTTCTTGAATTTAATGTGATATTTCATATAAGTTTTTGATTAGTTATCACCAGATAAGCATAGTGGCTTCACTGCGCTGGACTCAAGGTTGAGAAATCCATCTTTGAGACCTTGCTGTCACATTGCATGATGTGTTCTCAGGAAAGACTCTTTCCTTTACTGAGGGTACTACTCTGGAATCCAACCCATAACAGACAAGCACCAGGGGGCCCAAAGAGAACATAAATCAACCATCTTATGGATGATACAGAATGTAGGATTGAAGAACTTCCAGATGCTATTAATGACAGACAAGCATGGATGAAACCTGTCATGGAAAGCAGAGCAAGCTCAACCTGATGATGATTATGTGGGTCCCTTTGCCCAGGAGAATACCTTGGATACCAGCAACCTGTCAGGGCACCTGATAAAATGCTGGGGGGCAAGGGGGGGGGGAAGGTAACTTGTGTGGATGAGTATCCCACCCTGGGGAGTGCAAATGCCTTTTAGCCTTTTCATCTTACAGAACCAGAGTAAACTCTAGTAGGATGGACCACATGGCAGACGAGCGCTGACTTGATCTTTTCATTCAACCAGGCAAAATTTTAGGATGTCATGTCAACAGAGCTCAGGAGGACCTTTTCAGATTGGAATTTGACAAAGAGGTCAGAAACATGAGACCAACAGTGTCTCCGAGTCTTTGCAGGTACAGTACAGTAACTCTTTTTCAAGATTATAGTCAAGGAACTTTGAAATTGCTGCTATCAAGCATCATCCTTTTCCACCCACAAGGGTGAGAGGTATCATTCAAGGAATCATTGGAGTGATCAGTAAGTAATTTCTCCTCACAATATTCATATATCGTCTAGCAGAAAGGTTATGAGAAGGAAGATAATCATCAACATCGTACTTTGTTTGATTAAAGATTATATTCTCAGAGCTAACATTTGTTATGATGTACATGATGTATGACAGACAGTGAGAAAAATTGACATTAAGATATTTTGAATGAAAAAGGGTAAAGTTATGATTGCAATGAATAAGCTTGGAATTTGCTGCTTTGAAATTTAGCTAAGCTATGCAGCATCATTTGTAGGGAATCAGCGAGGTATCCATGACAATCTATCAACCCTAAAATGAAGGGGTAAGTTTCTAAAGAAACTGTAGTGCTGCATCAGTGGGAGAGTATAACAGGTAATTTAGTGTTAACAACTGAGTTGAAAACGTAAATTAGCCTTCATAGAGGGTAAAAATGCTGATGTTTCCAGCGTTAGCCCTTCGTCAGAGCAATTGAATCAATCGAACCAATCAAACCAATCGCTCTGACGAAGGGCTAACGCTCAAAACGTCAGCTTTTTTACCCTTTACAGTGGCTAATTTGTTTTCAACTCAGTTGTTAACACTAAATTACCTGCTATCAATCCTAAAAGTCAAGTCAAGGTGATTAACTTATGTTTTACCAAATCAGGTTTATACTGACAAAGTTAGAAAATTCCCCACTGTGTGTGCTAGAAGTGAAAATAAGCGCAGCCCCTATTGGAGAAATGTATATGAACTCATCTGAGCAGGTAAGTAACCTAACAACAGCATGTCAAGATCTGATTGTTAATTCTCCCCTCTTGCTGCAACACTTTTCCTTGTAAATTAGTAACAAGAATTTGATGTGAGATCAAGACAACAACTTCTACTTGAAAATTTCAGTATTCTCATTACCTGTTTTCTGGATAATGTATGGATATTTTAGGGAGAAGTTACATGTTAGTCAAATCATGGGGATAATTATACTCGTTTTGTGCAATTTTTTTTACTCTACTAAGTGTAGTTGGATAATAAATATTCCTTAGTAGGCATTTTTGTGTGTAGTATCACAGAGTATTTTAATGAGTTGTGCCGTATTTTGGATACTCAGGGGTACTCAGTGATACTACACACCAAAACTTCTAATAAGTTAATTACTATCCAACTGCTATATTTCATTTGCATTTCTTGAAAGGTGCGAAAAGCAGAGTAGACAGAGAAGCATAGTGCATGCAGCTGATCAGTGAAACAGGTTTTTTTTTTTTTTGGTACAAAATAACCAACTGTCCAATGTTTTAGGACATTTGTACTTGATTTAGTGCAGTTGGATAACAACACCATTCATTATCTATTCAATAGTGATATCATTATTAAAATATTATAATTGCTTTCCAGGTTTATGTTATAAGGCAAAGAAAATTGTTTGGTCCTCTGAGACCTCAAGAGATTAAAGACTTAGTGATTGCCAAATACCGAGAGGTAGTGTTTGCTTTAATTATAAAATTTATCAATAAATACAAGTTAATCCATTTACTCCTATGATCTGGATATCAGTTCTCTTTACTGTCTGCTATATGTTTCTAATAATTTCACTTTTGAGAATTTAGTGAACAATTTTCCCTACTTGATACTTTTCTTACTTCTCGTCACCTTTCTGGACAAAAATGTATTGATATTGTGAAGAGAAATAATCACCAAGAGTAGTGCTTTCCCTCCTGGATGGGATCAAGTTCCATCCAGCATTTTGTCAGGTTTCACAAACAATTCACTGGTAAACTTTTTTATTCTTTGCCCTGGTTGTTGAAATGAAGGATCATTTTGAATAAATCTCTATCCGGCCCTAGTTGTTTGAAGGATGGATAACACTATCCAATGGATAAATTGCTCTCCAGCCGAGAAGCGTTAACAAAGCACACTGCGCTATCCATTGGATAGAGGTTTATCCAGTGAATAGTGTTATCTTCCCTTCAAACAACCAGGGCCAGGTGAGTAGCAAAAGTGTGTTTTGTTCACACTCATCTGCTAAAAAATCAATTTATATCCGAGTTGTTCTTAGGGCAGATAATGCTATTCAACCAGTAAATTGCCTTTCAATGGGTAAGTGTCATCAAAACCTACTGTGCTATCCTTGAGATAGAGATTTACCCTTTGGATAGAGTTATCCACCCTTTGAATAGCTAGGTTCTGGGTAGAAAGGAGCAATGTGCAAGTGTAGCCTAGTAACTTCATTCTAGAACACAATACACTGACCCAGCTAGGTCTAAAATGGTAACATCTGTGAAATAATTATAACAAAATATAACTGTTTGTTGATGAAGCATCCATTTACAAATATTGATCACTTATCTAACTGATGATCAGTTTCCATTATTCCAGGGGACTTTTTATGATTTAATTAGTCTTGGTATGTAAAAAGTATTCCAAAATTAATTTTGCTGACAGTAATTTTTTTTAATATTACCAGGAAATATCCTCCACAGTAAATCTTCTCTCACCTGCAAAAGAATCCCATGAACGAGTAAAGTAGTTTCGGAACTATTGCAGAAAAGAACAAGTTCAGTTAAATTCACAATGTTGGGAAAATTTCTGTTGGTCCCTCTGTCTGGACCTTAAGAGTCAGGACGGCAACTCAGAGGAAGACGTTGATTAGAAAATGAATCTATATATTTGGTTGAAATTCCATGGGAGGCTGAAAGTCATTTATGCTTTCTCAAGGCGCACACCTCAACTTCAGTCAAACATTTGTATGCAACGTTGAGTTCCAAATAGAAACTTTAATAGTTTGCCATTGGGGATCCTCTCCTCAAGCCATGTAAATTTTGATTATTTCACATTAATGTTTTACAGACAGCGAAGAAATGTACACAGTTTTAAGATGCATGGCTAAGCTATTTTTCTGTATTTGAGATCTTTTGTTTTGCCAGATCCTCAATGTCATCATGATTTGCATAAGGTTCTCTTAATTTTCAACAGTAACTAAAGGTTTGGTGTGCAAATTAACCCAATTAAAAGACTAGTTCACAAATCACAAAGTGATGTTCCTTATGCATTCTTTACATTCAACCCTTAGTCCATTTTTCCACCACATTTTTCACAAGTATCTGCCACTTTCCTGTTTTGTTATGTGGTTATTCATTTAATCTGGGTGCAGTAGGATTCCTTGTTCATTAAAATTTTTCCCTCTGCATCTTGACAGCAAGACTTGAGGGTGGAACTGGCTATTCTGATGAAAATATTTATAAGGGCTAGTATTTCTAATTGTCCATTAAAGAGACCTCAGATCTGATTAGATATTTCTACAGTACACAATAAGATACTACAAAACTTTACAGTGCTCACTGCTCACAGAGTTTGACACAAAGTCAAAATAGTGAAGAAACATTGACAGGAGTGTTATTTTGAAGGAATACTTTTTTATTCGGTGTCTTAAATAATGCATTGAATTAATTAAATAATATCTGCCATAATATCAAATGCAAAGATAATCATGATAACATCCAAAATAAGCTGATATTCTCATTTATATCATTAAGGCTGCATAGTGGCCATGAAACATCACATAAGGTCACACAATTACATGATTATTGGTTAAGTCAATCAGTGTTAAGGCTTCCAAAACTTACAAGTGCAATTAAAGCAACTTTGGATTTTGATGGTATGTTTTCATTTTTTGTTTTTGTTTTGTAAGATGGGTTGAGGAGGGGTAGTGATGAATAACAACTTGAGCTAAACATTCCATAACTGATAAGCCACAAACACTCTAACAAATGAATGTTGTGATGAAACTTGTAGAAATAAGATGTACTATGAGTAATATCTAGAAGCAATTCACGTAAATTTATTTGGCTCACCTGTTTACACCTTTTTTGCCAGCCAATTGAGATCACTGTAGGGCTAAAATTGTGCACTTAAGCTGATGCAGAATATTTGTTGCCCAAGTGAGTGTTAGGTATGATCTCAATTGGGTTGCATCAAATATTTTATGTTTTGTACTAATCACATGTCTCAAAAAGAAGGCACTTGCGATTGCTTTTGTCAACAATTGAAGGAGCCCTGCCATAACATGAACAAAATGTCTAATAACTAATATATTCTATTACATGCCCTAAAACAAAATAAATATCTACTAACTTATACTTGTTGTTCTACTTCAACTACACAAAAGAACATTTTAACTCCGAGAGGTCCTTCATTTGTAACTCCTTTCAATATCTTCATGTAAAATAGCAAAAGGTGGTAATTACTGAAACACATCACAGCTATAGAAGGAAGTCTTGATAAAGTGCCATGTTCTTTTACAAATCTCCAGTGAAAGGTAAAAGAGCAAGGGTGAATGAGAAGTTCAAAGATTGATTTAAAGGCAGAGAAGGGAAGCTTGTAAGGGAGTTTTTCATCAGCAAACCAACAATATTTCCTATAATGATAGAAGATGTACTTCCATTTACATGTGTGTCTGTTTCTGCTTAGTCTTCACAGAATTGTGCATTTGTCGGACTTGTGGTACCTCAATCTTCATCTCATGTCACGTCTCAGTTCCCAAAGATGAAATAATCTTGTCTGCTTCTCTGATTCCACTTAAGTAAGCTCCTGTAACTGTCTGTGGAAATTGTCGATTTGTAGCCTAGAACAGAAGTGGGTTTAAAAATTAAAATGTAATCTTAAAACTGTTCATATCTGCTTCTGTCCATTTACAAAATCTCTAAAGGGATGTTCTGTTTGTTTTCCACCCCCACATATTAATTTGAAAGCACTGGGTGTTTCTAAGAGGTTTCTCCTCACATGAATGTTTGTGCTGAGTACAAAGATTGTCTAAGTGAAATCATCTCCCAGAAGACTTAGACTTGGCAATTAACTTTATACAGACCTCTCCTGCAAAATATAACTTGTCATCAACCTCAGAGGCCATATGATCATACTCTTCTCCAGTGCTACCAATAGGTATGTACGAATAAGCCATGCCTGAGTAGGGATCCTTCCCCCAGTGTGTTACCAAATATGCTTGAGGGTCTGGAATCTGTTAGTAGTAGTTACACTCTTTGTTTAGACAATATTATTTAAATTTACCATAACTGCTCTGATTGGCTCTCCCTCTGTGATAAGCTCCCTCCTCTAACAAGCTCCACTCTCTAAGAAAACCTCCCCTCCCTTAAAAGCCCAGTGAGCTCCTAATCTTAAAAAATCTTCCTTCCTCATACACCAAACTGGAAGCCATTTACTTTTATGTAAATAAGCCTCTCAGTGGTTTCATAGTATTTGCAGAACACTTTTTCACAACTGCAAAAAAACAGGTGTTAAATAGGCATGGCCTCATGATTATTAGCTCTTTTTGTACCATTCAACAAATAAGAAAAGATAAATAATTATTTGGCTACAGCAAAAGAAAAAAGTTAAAACACAAAGCAATTGTGAACCAGTTGCATTACTTTGTAAGTGAAAAGCTTGCGAAGTATGTTCATACATGAATCAACCACTTCCTTATCTGTCATTGTTTGTGCTTGTAAGGCTGTCTCTCCACATAACACAGTCATTAGAACATGGCTTGTCTTTTTTCCTTTTTCACTTCCCTTTTGAACAAAAGAAAGGCATTATATATAAATAAGAAAATTTACCAAGATACTCTGCACTAATCATTCAGGCTAAGTGAATAATTATTGAAAAAATTTTCTTTTTTTTGGTAGTCGGAGCCATTTTCAAATGAAATTCCAGAGTCATCGTGGACTGCATTGCTTTTCCTTTGCTTTGCTTTGCTTTGTTGTGGGTCCAGAAAACTTTTACCAACCTCTTCACCAATCAGGTATAAAATTTAAAAAACCAGGTAATCCTGGGTTAATGGTTAGCCTTGTCCCGGCTTTCAAGAAGGTTTCCTGTTTTTATTTAAGGTCTTATTAGCTCTTTGTGACATTTCCGTTTGTTCTCATTGGCTGTTGTAATTACTTTGGTATTAGTCTTTTGAATCAATCCCAACGTACTGCATAGCCCTGAGAAATGCATAGTAGCTGGAAGAGAGTTCTTTCTTACCTATTGAAAAAGACTTTACTGCACATTGTGTATGATAACACATATTACTACCTTTTTACTCAAGTTATAAAAGAGGCCACAGTGACCGCGCCCTTTGTGTGATTGGGGAACATGACCGAAAAAATCTGCTTCTTGGACAACTTTTTCCCAGAAGTTGTATTTAAATTTTAAAATGACCTGCAACACCAAAAATGGAAATTTTTAAAACTAATCACCATGCATGGTATATAAATCAAGCAGATGAGAGATGCGGTTGTTGTTAGATTAGAAAGGAAATTTATTCAAATGATTCAATAACCAATTAGGCACAAGATAGACACACTGAGATAAAGTACTAAGAAATCATGATATATGAAAAAAAAAATCAGCACAAAACTGACCACAACGTGTTGATTCATTGTCAAATGAAACAGGCTGCTAATATGAATCACACCTTTTCTATGAGACCAGCTCCAAGATTTGATATAGCAGCTTGCTTCCTCATTGGGAGTGCAGGAATGAACTTAAGTTTGCCTGACTTCAGCAAGAACAGTGGGACAGTTACAATCACCTGAAAGTGAGAAGTAAAGAAATGATTTAAATTTTAACTTGCAATTTTCTTTGATCATACACAAAAATGATTCACCATATCAAATCTTATGGGCAAAGGTAGACTAGGATCTCATTCTATAATTCACTCCAGCTTTATATCTCCAATTAATCCACTTAAAATTTTACATTACATCACAGGACTATTGAAAACTCTAAGTAAATGGCTGTGTCACCCTGAATGTCACATCTACATGCAGGTTATAGTTATTTTGACATGTAAATACCTTGTCTGCCGTCAGTTGCCTCCCATCAGAACTTGTAACGATTACTCTTTTGCTTTTGTAGTTAATTTCTTTGACCTGATTGAAGAAATAAAAAGTTTCATTATATACTTCATAGGTACTTGTCCAAGATCATTACATTGTAGAGTGTGTCACTAAAATCCCTGAGTGAATGGAGATATGCTCCCATCCAAGGGAGTATATAACAAGGTAATTTGGTATCATCACCTGTTGATAACGTATGTTGGCCACCAAGAGGAGTTTCAAAGCTGACATTTTGAACATTAGCCCTTTCCCAGAGCAAACGAAGAAGGGCAAACACTGACAAAGGGCTGATGCTTGAAACGTCAGCTTTGAATCTCTTAATTAACAGTGGCCAATTTATGTTATGAACTCAGCTGATGATACCAAATTACCTTTTGATTTGAAGTCCAGCACCTCAAACCATAAGCCCACTCTTTCTCACACACCCTTAGTAACACCATTCTAAATTACATGTTACTTATAACTTCATAAATTAATAAGTTTAAAGCTGCACTCAAACAAAAAGCACTGAGTGCCTGAAGTCTCTTGTTATCTCAGAAACCTGAAGTGTCTTGCCTCTCAAAGCTTTAACAAATATGCTACAATTTCATTCACATACTTCATACTGGAGTTTGGTGTCCAAATTCTCAGCAAGTTTGTCCAGAAGAACACCAAAACCATGTTGAAGAAGAGTATGATCACCACAAAACTGAGGAAGCTCTTCATTTTGATCCCAGGACATTGACGAGACTTTACTGAGTGGAGCTGCACAGCTGAACTCAAGATTTCCAAGGTGAAATTGCAGCAGCTTTTCTTCAAGCTGGAAAATGAAGATCATAAGATGATAAACAGAGCACTCAAACTGATTGAACTTGAAGTTATTGACATATACAGTTACACATCAACTTCGTTTCCTTTAAAACTACTCATTAACAACAACAAGAAGAAAAAAAGAAAGTGAGGAGGGTGTTATCTTTCAAAATCACTACATCATCCTCAGACACTTGAAAGGAAATGTCTGACAACTTGAAAGGAGACTTACTTCACTAAATGATACTTGGGTCTCTTCCAAAAACAAACTGTGCATCTCTTGTACTTTATCTGTGCAAGAGAGTACAATGGGGTGATCAAGATGTTTATAACAAATGATTAAATCTTTGGTGTGACTCATCACTTTCTTTAAGCTGGTTATGAATATGCAAGTTCTCGGGGGCTGTATTGTTTTGATGAAACAAAAGGCTTCTTTTGTTTCAGCTTCATTCAATGAGAGAGCACATCATCAAAATGCAAAAAAAAACAAAACAGTCCCAGCTGTTAAAACTAAGTCAATGCCAAAATTCAACTACCAAAAATCACAGCTTGCTCTGAGCCTTTCAATTGCATACTATTATACTGAGATTAAAATGATAATTTCAGCTGTTAAAAACCAATCAAAAGCCAGTCTGTCTGTTCTGTAGTAGACTGCGGTTGACCTCAAAATGCAGTAAGAACAAAAAAGTTTCACACGAGTCATTACAGTTTTAGTGTTTATCATTACCTTCTAAAGATTGATCCTCCGAGGCCTCTTCCCTGTTTTCAGCAATAGCATCTAAGAGAGCATTGAAGTGAAATTCAACTTTACTATCTGTGCTCACATCTACGCAGTGGCCTTCCTCAGTAAGAAGATCACATTTGCTGGTAATGTGGTGCATGGGAAGACCAGCCTATAAAGAGTGTATGCAGAAAGTTAATCTCATTTATAACTTTTAAGAGATTAGTAATTTAGTTCTTAAAAAAAAAAAAAAATTAATAATTGTATTGATTGGATCTTGGTTGCCATTGCAAGGGTAGCAGGCAGCTAGTGGGTAGATCCGCTTGCTTGTACATAATTATGCCCTGGTTCCCACTTGAAGCCTTTGCATAAATGAAAAAAGGGGGTAAATTTCTGAAAAACTGTGGTTCTGCATTGGTGGGAGAGTATAATAAGGTCATTTAGTATTATCAACTTTAATTAGTTAGTCCAGAAATAAATGTAAATTGGCCACTGTAATGAGTTTTAAAGCTGAGTCAAACGTTAGCCAATTCCAGAGCAAATGGAGGAATTGTGGGTTATGGAGGATTATTGTGATGAGGAAACATAAATAAATTAGTTGAATGAAAAGTGCTTATGGATACTTGTGGGTTATGGTTGGGGTTATGGAGGAACATGGAGGAATATTGTGATGAGAAAACAATTTTAGTTGAATGAAAAGTAATAACAGTGCCAATTTCAAAGAGTAATTTTTTTTTCTGGAGTTTGCACCTTTTTCTGTTTCAAAGAGGTATAACTTTAACTTTACACTATATAAATTTTAACAGTTAGCCATAAAAAGCTAACTGTTAGTAATAATTTTTCTGTATACTTTAACAGAAAGAATTAACCCTTAGCTGTAAAATGGCCAGAATATTAACCATAATCTGTAACAGCCATCGCCCCATGGAGACCCTCTTGTGTAATTCTCCTCAAATTGGTTGGGGTCGAGCAACAACAAAGGAAAACAAACTGGAATGAACTTCAAATTACAGGAAAATGTGCCTGAAAGGATCTAAACCTTAACCCTTTACCCCCAAGATCTTATTAGTAATTCTCCCTACTGTCTGCCATACAATACTTGTGATTTCAATTTGGAGAATTTGGTATTGGATCGACTTGTAGTCCCCTAATTGAGTTTTCGTCTTTATTCTCCTCACTAGTCTTCTTGATTCTGTGTTGATATTGTAAGGAGAAATTCTGTCTTGGTCACTCATGGGAGTTAAAGGGTTGAAGATTTCCAAGAGGAGTCCAGACCTCTCTGTAAAGAAAAGGCTCTCTACACCTACAAAACTACTCACCTGCCGTATGAAACAATGTGCCTGTTCTGTATTCATGTGAATATTTCTAATTTATATATTTAAAACTATTGTTTCTAAACGTGTGATTTTTCTCTACATTAAAAAAAATTCTTAAGTTTATCCTTCACTTGTGGAAAAGAAAACGTATTCTTTTACAACAACCTATACAATATGAACACATTTTCCAACTAACAAGTGTAAGGATAGATAATTTATTTTCTCAGCTTTGCTATCTTTATATAAAATGGCAATTAATATAAATTATCTCTGCTTTATATAGAAAATGTATCGCTGTAGAAGAGAGGATTAAAAATCAAAGATTAATTGAGTCAAAGGTTGGATTATTATCTATTCAGCAATTTACAGTATACTTTCACCTGCTCACACAATACTGATATTGGATTATTCACACAGCCATTTAGTATTTGTGCTCCAGTACCAACACAGCATCCTAGAGAATGTGTGTCGTCCCATACACGCCCTCCAATCCTGTCTCTACTCTCAACAACTGTGACCTGCAAGAGAATCACAATATAAACCCACAGAGATTAACATTGAAGATACAGTGCTAATTGAATTTCTTGTCATAGTATTACCGCTGAATCATACATAATGGTGGCAAGAACAAAGGAAATGATCACCAATTAAAGTGCTCTTAATTGTTAAAGAAATTCTTCCTGTTTAAAGGGATCAGTGTGGATGATATGAATACTGATGTTATGGTGTTAAGGGTTAACATTGGAGGAAATTCGTCATCAGAGACAAGGGAAGAATTCTGTGTCAGTTGAACAGTTCAAATGTAGTTCATGGCTTTTGACTGGTGAGTTTTTCCATCTGATGATGTTTTTGGTTGTAACTCTCAAGTAGTTAGTATTCCATTTACAGGTTAATGAGATAGGACAGCACCTTAATACCAAATGTAGCTAGATGTCTTGCTGCAGCTAAGCCAGCAGCTCCTGCACCAATCACAATGACAGAAAGCTGCAAGGAAAAACAATGAAACAATCTGAATCAGATGTACCCAGTGCATTTTAATAAATATCCCCAAAACAGATTGGATACTCTGATTGTTTTATACATGCATAGAAGTAAGTTAAACATTTGAACCAAAGATGCAGTATTCACCAAGAAGTTCTAAGTTCACATTTGCCTACTCTGAGCAAATAGCATTTCAAATTTCTTACACAGCAGCCACGTCTATGCACGAAGATAAAAGCACTTTAATTCCCTCTTGCAACACATTATAATTAATTTTCTGTATTATACATGTAGCTTCGACTAAAATTCACCATTATCAAGAAACATACCCTTGTAGCCTTTGGTGTGCTGAGAACATCGGGCACATCGCCTAAAATACCATGATTGACAAATCCTTTTTTCGTTAGAAAAAACAAGACACGTTTAGCCTCTGTAACCATCAATACTCTGATCAGACCTCTCACAATGATATGCTGCGCACACCTATCTGGTGTTAAAAACTCCTGTGGGAAAAGCAAATAAATAGGAAGGCATAAAATCTTATTTCCTGGTGGCCCCAGGACTGCCAAAGGTTATTCTGTATTGTTTTAAAATGTATGCTATACTGTTTTGTCAAATGATCAAAGTTCACAAGTTACTTCTTTCATCACTGTTTTACAAATTTCAAGTGAGCAGATCTGCGCTTTTACATTACCATCTCTTTTCTTGTGGAACACAATGACCCACAAAGCAAAGTTATGGCCCGAATGAATGACAAAAGCACACACACTTTGGCTGATCACATTTTAGACTAGTCTGTCTTCAGACAAAGATGAGTCAGCGCATGGTACTAGTCTGTGATGTTCCCTTATCTTTGGGCCACACTGTAGGCTGTGCAGGAAGGGGCACACCCCTGGTTGGATGCAAGTCCATGGAAGCTTATTCCCTTTGAGGGGTTCTTTGATTTTCAGGTCACCTGACAGTTTCCTAGTATCAAATCACACTCACAGGTGGAAAGAAAAACTGAGAGAATCATTAAAAGCACCTTGCTACATGACCTGCCCCAAGGCTTGTCTTAGACACCTCATTTAGATCAAGTCTCAAAAGAGTAACTGGCTAAAGTAGCTCCCTTCTCTATATAAACTGGAATTTTCACATCAAATAACTTTTGTTATTATTACTCTATTGAGCAGCATACATTTAACAATAACAGAGGTCTCTACTCACCTTGTGTTTCAGTGTCCACAAAGACAAAATGACATTTCGCAAGGCAAGATACAGCATTGGTTGCCTGAAAAATGCAAGAAGGACAGAAGCAATTACTCACATCATTACTTTATATCATTCTAAGTATAAAACCCTTTGACCCCTGAGAGTGATTAGCATCTAATTTCTCCTTACAATATCACCCTGAATCATACATTTAGGTCAGGAGAATAAAGAAAGTGATCACCAACTAAAGACTCTCTTGATTGTTAAACTAATTCTCCTTGTCAGCACCTTTGGAAAAGTAAAGAGAAAAGTATGGAGAATAGACATATTAATGTTTGGATGTAAAGTGTTAAACGATAAAAATGGTTTTAAATTTAAGTTTCTTTCATCAATCTTTAATTTACAGTTTATCACATAAACATTCATTAATAAATGATTAGCCACAGATACCTAATATATTCAGGGAAGGTTTCTTCTTCCTCAGGTTCCATGACGTCTGGGCGGATGTTGTATGCCGTGTGTGGATTCTCTGGATGATAAAACAACTGAACATATCCTGCAAAAGGGTAAGAGGAAAAGGGGTTTAGTCAGCTTCAGAGCCAGAACACCTACCAATCTTGCTGAAGTTTACAAAAATTTCTGTAGCAAGATGTGACCAGGAGAATTGGCAGATAGTTCACTGGTCCCCATCTACGGCTGTTTGCAGAAAAGTTGTTGGAAAAATTAAAAAGGAAAGGGTGCACAGGACATTCTCGAAAGGTAATCTGGGTATGTGGTTAAAAAACAGCTAAAAAACTGGGGAGAAATATATATAATGCAAGTGAAAACAAGATGAACAAAACAATAGAATAATCATCGTTCACTAGGGTCAGTTTGTTCTTTTTTTTTGTTTTTCATCAAGTTCATAATTAAAAGTCAGTCCTGCCAACAAAATAAATTTATAAAATAGCTATGTCTAGGCCTCTTCCTTACATTGATGTTTTCACAGATTTCCCTAAAATCCTGAGGTCAAGGATCCGTGACCTGATAACTACCTACAATACCTTCCAGGGTTGTTGCGGGCATCTTTTTGATAACCTTTCTGCAAACAGCTGTATACCCCTGGCTGGGGATATGCAGCACATATTAACCCAGCCACCTGTCTTAGATCTGGTCTTTTTCATTCAAAGTTTAGCATAGTAACTTCCAAGACATTGCATCTCTCCAGACATAAAAACACATGCAAAAGACAATAATTATTTTGCTCAGTAAGAGAACACACTATCCATTAAATTTATCAAATTCATATCAAATTTATTACCTGTAGAATCTTCTAATCTACACCCCCAGGTGTTTGATGTGGGGCTCAGGCCAACACCATCAGGAAAATATGACCCAAGGAATTGAGCTGCTGAGCAGTTTTGAAGCAGAGGAGGTTCTGTCAAGCTTTCCAGCCACTTAGCACTATTAACAGCAGATACTCTCTTCAAAGAAAACATGTTGACAACAATGTTATAACAGTTGCATTCTGTCTATAATCATAGCTATTATTGCTCACTGGAATAAATGTCTCTGTCACTTTCATATATTATCGTGACATGGTGACCTAAAAGTTGATAAAACAAGAAGAACTCTGAATCTAGAGGTTTCTGTTTGAGCCGTTTTTCACATACCTCATCTTCTGGAATACCACATGGGCTAACTGCTTTCTTTTTTCCCTGTTCATGAGACAACGACAATTCATATTTAAATTTAGAATCTGCAAGTGGTGTACAAACCCCCCCACCCCTCAATACATGTATGTAAGTATTTGATTCATCCAAAATGTAATTGAAGGGGTCCATGGAAATATACCCGTAGATTCTCCTTCCATAGTAATAGGAACATTACTTAACAGCTTTCTATGGGACTGCATTATTAAGTTCCCCAAATAGAAGACAAAGGTAGCAAACTTGGTCTCCAAAATTTCTTCTCCCTGTCATGGCAACCAAAGCAATTGCATCTTGAAGAACTGACCCCTTAAGTTGCGAACACATTGTCAGCAGTGTACCTTTTCTTTGTTTGTTACTATTGCTACTGGTGATGAGCATTTCCAGGACTTTATATCATCAGGTGTGAGTTCCTTTTCTGGAAACTCCCTCCATTTTGAACATGACACGCACTGGACCCAGAAGGGCATTATCATCTCTGAAACATACACCTTAATGTTTGCTTCTTTTTTTCCAATAGAACTCCAATCTAGTTTCCATTGGGTGTATGCTTCATAGCCATTTTTAAAGCTTTAAAACAGAAAATAACAAAGTGATGCCCTCAGTAGCATTTGGGGTACATTTACTGTAGGTACCTAACAACCTAAAAACATAGGCATGCATAGCATGCAAGACTTATTTTTTTGGCTGGGTGGGTTGAAATGAGACAGTTTGAGTACTTAATGTTTTCATTTTTGTCACCGAAAAAAGCATAAATTTCAAAACATGTAAATATCGCAGAAAGACAAAAAAACCTATAATTTATCTGAATTCACAAGGATATTATGTGGTCTACTGTCTCTATTGTCTGAATACTTCTTAGTAAAAATGAAATGCATTGGTGCCACGCTTTCCTCGACTGTTGTCTGGAATAGTTCTTAGATTTTTCTTAGTATTCCGTCAACTTCTTGATCTAAGATGGATATAGGTAAAAACTTCTATAAAATTTTGCAGTCTCTTTTGCAGCCGTTGTTTGGTCTTGTCACACAACACCCTCCATTTCCTTTTTGAGAGAGAACGCATTGCATGATGAAACCAAATAACGGTTGCAAAAGAGACTATGCTTACTGTTGTTCCTCCAACAGAGAGAAAATCAAATTTATTCATCTACAGTTAGTTACCTCAGACTTTACCATGAAAAGCAAATGGAAACTCTTTTGTACCTCTAATAGACCAAAGATAATTATATTGCGATCTCAAGTGCAGTAAGTGAAGATACATTGAAAGGAGAGAAAAGAATAATGTTTCAAAGAAGGCTCCTTGATTGATTGTTGCCCATCTGGACTTTGCCCTGTGTGTGAAATACGTGATAAAATGAAGGCTGTTTTCCAAGGAATGAACACGTAATTGGGTTAAGTCTAAGGTAGCTTAAAGCAACTATAATTTTTAGAAAAGTCAAACGTAGGAGAATTGTTTAGAAAATTCAATATCAGTAGCATTTACCTCCGTATGAATTTTTTTCAGCAGGATTGCACCATGTGTTTAGAATAAGTAATAAAATGCAGGTTGTTTACAAGAAAATGACATGCATATTCAAATCCTATTAATGATTGGTGTGAGATACATACCCTAATGTGGCAATCTGTTGGTGTAAGAAACATACCCTAACACAGCAATCTGATTGGTACGAACAACATACCACTCTATACGCTAACATTAAGTTATTTTTTTTAATTAAAAAAAATAACTCAAAAAAGGGGGTAAGTTTCTGAACTGTGGTGCAGCATCAGTGCCCAGGGGCATTACAAGAAAATTTGGTTATCAATTGAGGTGATAAGGGAATTTGACCACCGTAGGGAGTTTCAAAAGCTAATGTTTTGAGCATTAGTCCTTTCTCAGAGCAAATAGAAGAATTGTGGGTTGTGTGTAGTTTATATCAAGAAACATCGAGCAACACTATTGGTGGGCACATGGTAACAATAAAAACACATGAAGAAATTTGTTGGATGAAAAGCATAATGAGCCTTGTGAAAAATAAACAAAAGTTCAAGAGTAGTAAGAGTGAGTATCACAAATTAACCTGAGCAGCTGTAAATCCTAAAGCTGTCAGCAAATAATCATAGGGTGTTGCCTCCATTTCAAGAACTCCAAAATTAATATATTATCATGGAAATAATTCATTTATTCTCCATAGAGAAATGTATGCCAACACACACAAGGGAATTCATGACTGAGGTAAGAGGTTTTGGGCTTTCGGTGATAATTCTGAAAACAACTCAGTGTATTACGTAATAACCAGTCATCAAGATTTAGATATAGTGTAGCTTGCCTTACCTCCGATACATGTAATCAAAACAGGCATTACAGAAATGTTCCCCATCAGACATGTGATACCATCTCGAGGTATAACCACATCCAGCACAGCTTTATGAAAAAACAATTAATCATTGATAAAATTAACAAACAATTAAATAAATCGTAATTCATACTTACAAGCTGATTAAAATCAAAATTTTTATACTAGCCATTCTATAAAAAATTACAGCTGCATGTGTGTTATTTCACATTAAACATAACTATTAAAACAAAATAATTGGGACAAAATGTTTTGTTTTGTAACAAATGTGGTAAAATTGATTTAAAAAGAGGCAGTGATTGACAAAGAACTATGTGGACTAGTAATATCAAGAAATGGTTAGAAGGAAAATTATAAAGAATATCTGAGGAGAGCTGAAGACTAGGAAGGTTGGAGATCTAAATGTGTAATTGCCAATTTATATAATTATATATGAAGTTGAAGGTGTCTCATGATCATGAACAAATGTGGGATGGAAAAAAAATATTCTGAGTCCTTTTGAGAAATTGAACCCCAGTCTGTTATTGCTGTTGCTCCTATCTCACTAAGCCAAAGAGACTCTACAGTGAGCTAGACTATTACTAAGGTTCTTATGTGTAAGTGACACAAAATCATTTCATTCAACTATTCAAGATGTTATTTACATGGCCAATGAAACGTCTGACCAAGTATAACTCACGTTTCATCAAATCTTGCACAGCAAGTTGGTCTACGGGCTGGACAGCCAGCTTTCTCACATGCTCTAAATTTCCCTCCTTTTTCATGAGACACAGCACCATTGTCAAAAAACTGTTTTCTCTTTGCTTTTCTTGGTGATCGCTTTGTGGTTTTATCCTTTTCCATTCTGATCAATAAATGACATCAGAAACAACACTCCTGGTGGAGTATTTTGCAGTCATACTGTTAAGGACTTTAAAGAGAAATAGATTTCAACCTAATAATAATAACAACAATAAGAATTTAGTCATGGACGTTCCACTAGGTGAGTGGCTCTTCTTGTTTGCAGCTTCCAGGTCGAATTGGAATTCAGAAAATTGGTTTTTGTGGAGGAAGAAAAACAGGAGGACCTGGAAAAAGACTCTTGGAGCAAGGATGAGAATCAATGACAAACTCAAACTACATGTGAGCCCAAGTCTAGGAATTCAGCTTGGACTACAGTAGTGAGAGGCAGGCACTCTACCTGCTCCCCACCTAGTTGATGTCACCTCTAAGTATAGTGCTGCTAATTGCGCAAAAAGAGAAAATTGCACAGCATTCTACAGTCACTTATAATGATCAAAGGACTACTGTCTGATAGAATTGGTATCAATCATTGCAGAGATTGCAAAGTGTCACTTTTAACCTTTTTACTCTCAAGATTTCATTAGTAATTCTCCTTACAGTCTGCCACACAATTTATGTGATGTTAATTCTGAGAATTTGGACTTGGATCAACCAATAATCCCCTAATTGATATTTTTCTTTATTTTCATTACTTGTTTGCTTGATATCATACTGATAGTGTAAGGAGAAATTCTGTCTTGGTCACTAGTGGGACTTAAAGGGTTAAGATGAATAAGGAGTGAGACACCAAGCAAGGACAAGAATATGCAGTTTTACTATCTATTCATATAAAATCCAAACTCTCATTAAGGTTTGCTAAGAGATTATGGTTGGTATGATCTCATGAATGGTGCATTGCATAAAATTTTACATGGGTACTTTTAATCACTGTGATCATTCCATTCCCTCAAAAGTATAACTGACTAAAAAAAAAAAAAAAATCGTTTCGGTGATATCTCATTGGTTGGCAGACATTAAGTGTTGATATCAATCGAATAAATGACAATTCACGTATGCTGTTCCACCGTGCATGTGTTTTCCGGCTCCGAGCAGTAGTGCTGACTTAGTAAACCTATGAATGGAACAGTCTCCTCTTTTGAAATCTGAAATTTGTAAACGCAATTTAAAAGCAAAGGCTTCCTAATGATCTTGTGTTCTATTTCATTCATTACAAGAAAATGCCTTATGGACCACATTGGTTCAACTGTATTCAACCACTTTCAGTTACTTGACTTAATATGAATAATTTAACGGTGAATTTGAACACAACCTCATTCTTTGCTCCAAAGATTGAATCATGAGAGCTATTTGTAGTTTCTTAGTTGGATCAAAAGCCTACGAAGTAAAGATTATGCATGTATGCGAAAACCTAATCAAAAACAAAGTACCATTAAGTTATCATTCATTACTGCGGACCACGACTTTTCCATTCACGGGCAGTAATTCAATTTTGGTTTTCAATTCTACAGTTTCAGAGGTAATTCGATTCTAACCAATCAGCTTCTAACTGAGGAGCTAAAATAACTTCACAAGGATTTTAAACTCACCAGCACAACATAGCAGCCCTTCCCTCCACTGAGGAAATTTGGCAAACGATCGCGCTGAAATTTGACTGCGTCAACTAGTGCCTAGATTTCTCCGAGCAAAGTGTCACGAAATGAATAATTTAACAGCTAGTGGTCACGCTTGCGTCACGGTTCGAACTTAGCTTCGAATTTCCACCCCTGGTAAATCCACCCCTAGTAAATCCACCCCTGGTAAAACACTTCGATTTAATTCCTGACTTTTCAAACCTTCCAGCAATTCCAACCAATTTGATTTTTCCCAGGAGAGACGAAATAAGAATTTTGCCAGAAGATGTTCGCTATGTCGCACAAATGGGATGGCACAGGAATTAATTTGAATGAGAATACTTTGAAAATTTATCTATACGGATAAATGATTCCTTTGGCGATCAGTCCTGAACTCTTGTCAAATCAATGTAAGTCTGATAACTAATATGTATATGTGATATGTATTCAGAGCTGCGCGAGTTCCTGAAATCCTGCGAGTCATGAACGCGCCCAGGTGTCACGTGACTGTCGATTGATTCATCGAGCGGAAGGAAAAACGGTAACTACCTTAATTTTCACCAGTACATGCAAACCTTTCGATAGCAACTTTTTTTAACCCTTTTATTTCTTGTATAACTTTTCGTGTTGTTTACTCTAAATCTACGCTATTGTGCCTTCAAAAAAATGACGAGTAGTCTACAAAGGAAACATGTAAATCATAAGTCATTTTAGTTTACTAAATGAACCTCTCCGAGTTTTCTAAATCCTGTGGATTTTTTTATAACACTTGATTCAACAGATTTATGTTAAATAGCTTCATAAAACACTTCAATTTCATCAGGTTGAAAAATGTAACTTCCTGCCAGGAATGATTGGGTGAAGTAGCTACCATAACTGTGGCCAGATGGTGGACTGTACTCGTGTCCAAGGTTTGAGTAAGAATTTGAGTTGGATGAGGCGTAGCTTGAGATGTAAATATCGTGTCCTCCACCAAATGTGGGTCCATAGCTTGAACAACTGTATGTGGAATAACTCCTATAATAACTATACTGGCCTTGTTGGGTTAGTTTCACTGGTCCCCATCCAGGCTTGTTAACCAATGAGAACAAAAAGGCGCTCGAAGTGTAGTGGTATCCACAATTAGAAGCTGAATAATAAGTAAATAATTCAGAATAGAATTCAACTGTCTATCCTTTTCAAGGGAACAAACCAATCACCGCTTTACATCTGTATCAAAATTTTCAGCGTCTCATGAAATCCTGCAGCTCGTGCAGAGAATATTATATGAGAGGCTGAGGCATTTATCACGCTGGTTTATTCTTAGTAACGCGTTTACTCGATTCATCGCCGCGGCGCTAATTACATTTTAGCGCTTCCCAAGCGGCGTATATCCATGGGCGGTGGGCCTTTATGTCAACTCATGTTTCTTAACTCATTGACATCAATATTAGTAAAACATTCGTAAATAGTATTTAAAATGGAATTTTTTCCGAGATCGTTAGTATGAAAACATCGAGAGTCGGCCCAGAAGCGGAAAATCGAATTTCTCCCCGTTTAATTTAAAGAAGCTTGTAGGAAAACTAATCCCTGAAATGACAGAGGAATATTCGGGTTTTCTTTTTTTTTTCCTTTCTTTAAAATTTAGAAATATCTAAATTCGCCTACACCAGTTGAAATTTGGCGCAGGTTTCAACAACCCGTATAAAGGAACAAAACCTTGTTTGAACATATCATTCACTTCTTCCGCACATTGCTCGCGTCGTCCTCTAGTAAGTAATGATTAAAATAATTCATGTAGCGCCAATTCGTTTTTAACAGTTATGTAGAAAAAGATACTCGTTGAAAAAGCTCAACTTAAAAAGAAATCTCAAGTAAGGGCATGATTAGTTTATATTGCTTATGAGGCACTGGTAGTCCTAATCAAATATACCGTGGACCCCATTGCATTGTTTTGTTTTGACTGTTTGTTTGTTTGTTTTTTTTTTTTTTTTTTTTCAAATTAGAAACCAGATATACTCTTAGAGTTTAATTTATAGGTTCTACTTCGGCGAGGAGAAAAGGCAAGTAAATTCAATCCATGATGCACTTACTCCATGACAAGCTGGTGTATCCACCAAAGATGTATTTTCCCACACGGACTATAGTCACTGTCGGCCCTTTGCTGTCGCACAATGAGTGGAAGGTAGTACTGGCCCAACCATCCACTGATGCTCGCCAACAGCGCTTCCAGTAAGAGGACTGGCTCTGTACAACAGGGTTTAACCAATTGCTCAGGGTTCCAAGGTAATTATCATCATTTGCCAATATTGCTGAGTAACCTAGGCCTTAATAAAAGAATAAGTATTATCACACCCTTTGCAACCTATTTTAATGTTAATGTATAAAGAAGGCGAGGAACATTGACACAACAACAACACACAACTGATCTGTGGCGAATTCGTTGGTGACGCAGGGTATAAACAAGGCTCTTAAAACGGGAAACTTGTCCACTTCAGCGATGTCGAAAGCGGTATGTTAATCGGTACTTCGGGAAAAGTGTGATAAAATTTGAACTCAGTTGTCACGTACGGAATACACTTTACATGGTCGAGAAAAAAAATGAAAAACTAGTCTTCCAGAACTATTTTTTGAGATTGATAAAAGGCTCAAAAGTGTTTTTTATAGTTTGAAAAGAAAGCCAGTTTACGGTTAAGATTTGAGTTACGAACCCCAAACTTTCGCTTTGCTGCTTTACCGACAATTTCTTGTCAAACTTAACCCAAGATTTGTTGGGCATAAAGGGCTATAACATTGTATTTCAAGTTGTTTTTCAGCACATCTCACCTGCATAGATGTAATAACAATCAAATCCATCTCCAAAGCATCCAGCTTTACACTTGCACGTGTACGAGCCACGTTCATTTGTACACGTGGCCAGCTTGTGACAGTAATTCAGGTCATTTTGGCATTCATTTAAGTCTAGTGTGGGAATAAAATGAAGCAGTTAACACTTTTTCAGCACAGAAGAAACAGAAATGGTAATGTTAAGCCTCGTGAACGTAATTTCCCATTACTGACTTTGCATATTTCCGTACATTAAACTGATTGAAAGTATTGCTAATATTCGTGCCTCCACCTCCCCCTAAGAAAGTTATGAAGTTTCCCTGATAGACTGGAGGTACCTAAATTCTTTCCCAAAAAGAGCAGCACGGTGGTCCACCCAGACTTCTCGATATGCAGTCCAGCGCACTAACTATTACACAACAACGGAACAAGGAAGTCAACAGGTCAAATCTGAGCCTCACAATAGGATCGTTGAGTTGTGTTGTTTACATGATTAAGCAATATACCCAACCTTCTCAGTGCCTCTCCTCATCAAGGAGATTTAATGGTTTTCAATGAACTGTTCTGAAAGAAAACATGGCAAAATGCAAGGACTTACATGTGGTGGACTGACATCTTATACAGGAGGAGGGGAATATTCCAAGTTTCCTCACCTTTCCAAAATCAGGATAAGCCCAAACAGAACTGAGTCATTACACAAGTAACACCAAACCAGCCATTGAAAAACATTAATTAAGTTTTGCTTGTGAAAATGATATCGTAAAAGCTTCATTTAATATGTTTGACTTACCTTTCTTACAAGTAAACTGATGACAATCACTACACTGCACGTCGTTCCATTCGTAGTTGTATTTCACACCAAGTGCATGCACACAATCTTCTTCTTTGAAATTATTTGGCTGATTCGTGGCCCACACTGTAAAGTTTCCATGTCCACGATCAACCCAAGTAAAGTCACCCTCTCTTGATCTGTCATTGAAACCAAGCCAGGACTTCTCTCCATTGTGGCGATGTTGTATGTAAACATTTTCTTCGTTGTTGTTGACATCAATAAGGACTGAGTTTTCTTGTCTACATTTTTTAACTGCTGCGGTCCAATCTGCACAGGTATCACTCGTGAAATAACAGAAGCCATCGAAGTAGCTCCATTTGGAATCGCAGATGTCTAGTAATAAATGTTTTATTTAATATTGAAATAATTCATATATTTGCAAATTTTCTAAACGAGTTTTGCATCAGTCTCTCTCTAAATATTGTGAAATATAACCCCCAAAGTTTAGTTGATTTATTTGGAATGATTACTGACCTGTAAGGACCGCATAAGCCACTGACACAGGATCATATCTAGTCTCGTACAATTCCTTGACACAAACTCTGAATCCAGATTCATTCATATTCTGTAATCAATCAGAATTTCTTAGCTTAAATCTTCTTTTTATTTCTGGGCTGTCTTCGCAAGTTTGACATCGATCTCGCTCGAGATATAGTCTTACACTGCACCACAGATAAGGAAATTGAAATTCTGACATGTGATAGTCAATCATCTTTTTTTAAGCCAATTTCCTGTGTTATTTTAAAGCTTCCGAGAAGTAAGCTATTTACCTCAATCCATGTAGAAACGCCGTTATGAACTGGTGCCGAGTTTCCACTTGCTGATGTGCTGTGATTCGCTGAGATCTGGACGGATGGTGTCGCATTGTAATTTCGTTTGAAATGCATAAACTATCAGTGAGGTAAAAAAGGTATTTGAGGGTAATCCTGGAATATTTGTTACGTAAAAGTCCATTTTTTCTCATAACATCATTGTACACTTACCTCGCAGTAAGCATTGTTGTCTTCATCTGTTGGTGGATTCGTGTTTGGAAAGTTTACAGAGCCATGTTCAGTGAAGAGCGGCTTATGCAATTTAGCAAACGCCAACCAGTTCTATGAAGAAGCAGTGAACAAAACAAAAGACTTACTTCTAGTAAGCACAGTATCGTATTGCATTTGTTGCCACACATAGAGGACCTTGAAATTCAATTAAACAAACAATTAAAAAAAAACTATTTTTACTGTCAAAACGAGGGAAACTTTTGGAAGAATCCTAATCAAGCTTAATTAAAAATGCAGACATAAAAAAATGTCCCTAATCTCAGATCTTTATCGATCTTACAGTTGTAATATTTGGACAGAACACATCACGTACCACATAAACATCTTGATGTTTGCCGTCAAAGTTTTGCAGCTCCCGCAAACAAGCCTTGAACGAGTTCTTGGTTACATCTTCTGTCCAAATCAACGCAGCGTCATGTTCCTTCCCACTTCTTTGGTGATTGGACGTCACAAGAACAACTGGTGAATCCTTAAATTTGTCCTGAACACATAAAAGTAAATCATTCCATCACACATCTTGCCAAATTTCGCAGTTTTATTTGAGTTTGGTATAAATGGATAAATAAACTGAAATCAGAGTTCAGTTAATTGCTGTCTGTTTTAACCTCATGCTGACGGTCTTTTTTATATCAATTTTGTTATCATTATTATCAATATTACTACTACAGTTGACTCTCAACCTGCGGACGACTCGTTATTATGGACACCCCGCCATGCTGACAAGAGCCAGTCCCCCGAAACGTATAAAGAAATGACTGAAATAAACTCCTGTTATTACGGACCCTCGCTATTACGGTAATGCGGAAACTTTCATACCGCCCCTCCCCTCCTCCCCTTTTACCGGAGGACTTCTTTTCACTTGTTTTTCTCTCACTTAAGCGGACACTTAAGTACTTCATTCAATATCCATTATTACATATGTTTAGAGAAAAACAATTTGTTTTTCTCTCGTACCCTGTTATTACGAACTCATGCTATTACGGACATTAATCTCCCCCCGAGGGTGTCCATAATAACCGGTGTTGACTGTATCATTACTATATTATTATTTTGGTAAGGATCATTTTGACATGGAAACGAAATGGAACCCGTCATTCAGAAAAGTAATAAGAATGCCGAAAAATATTTGAATGGAAACCTACTTTTGGAAAAGTCACATCTGCACAATTCGTTCCTGACCACCATTTCGTCATCTTCACTCTTCCCGTCGTTCCCTCCGTTGGTGCTCCCTGGTACGCCATCCAATCAACAGTGGCGAAAGGATTGAAGTTGTTTCCATTTCTCCCAGATTGCATTGCGCATACTGTAAAATTTTGCGTATTGATTTTTTCGGTCCAGGATGTGATAGCATGGTGCACTGTGACGGAGTCATTCAAGTTCATGTGATTAAGGGTGATCTGTACTTGAACCTCTTTGTTCGGATAGAAGCGGTATGGTGGGAACACCACTGTCTGGCAACTTGAATCTGACCAATCGGGAACTCGAAGAAGCTTGACACGACCATGAACGATTGGAAATCCTGCAGAGAATTAAAAAGCTGAAGTTCTATGCTCTCCGTGACCATTTTTTCTGATATATCTCAAGTTGCTGAAGGGTTCCATGTATATCCTTGGAAACTTTAAGTTGTTTGTATCTATTCTTAGAGGTAAATGATTAAAGGGGGTAAGTTTCTAAAGAAACTGTGGTGCTGCGTCGGGGGGAGAGTATAACAGGGTATAATTTGGTGTTACCAACTGAGTTGATAATACCAAATCACCTTGTTAGCGGTAAACAAATCTCATTTTCATAGAAATATAGCCTTACCCTCACAGCTTCCAGGATGATACAAGGTATTATTGTCCATTCCCTTGCAGAAGCTCAATTTGTACAGGCATTCATTGTCATATGTTGTTCCATTTTCCGTGCAGACAGGATCTTGATACGACGGGCAGTTGTCATCACACACGCAGCGAGCTTCATGGGCACTGTAGGTTTTGCAGACTCCGAATGATGGGCAGAACACGTCTAGACAGGGATTGAGGTCTGTGGATGCGAAACAAAATGGTAGTTACCACACAATTAAAGAGAGATCCCAAAGTTACGTTGCACCAACACATTGAAGTTGAATCCAAACCTCCTACTACGACGTAGTTAACCGACAGAGGGTCGTGTTTGCTTCCTGTTCCACTCAAGTCTTTGACGCAAATCCTCATGGATGTAAGGCTAACTTCCTACACCGAGACCAAAGAGCACAAGGTGAGGCAACAGTAGAATAATAATCATAGAAATAGATTGGATAATTTGGTTTTATCAACTGATTTTATAATATATATTGGCCACCGTAAAGAGTTTGTAGCCTGACGTTTCGATCGTTAGCCCTTTATATGAGCGAAATAGAAATAGACTGTTTATTTACCTCAACCCAGGCTGATATGATGTTATTGTTCGGTGAGACGAGGCTTTTCATGCTGACTTGAGGGTTGTACAGATGATGCACAGACACAAGGACAACAGGTGAAGCATAAAAGGTTGTGTTAAACTGCACTTGCTATAAAAATAAAAAGAGAGAAAACATTTATATGTGAAACAATACACATAATACTAGCTCTGTTTTGCAAACCAACCCGTTCAATAATTTTTCTGCCTTAAAATAGCTCCTCATAAATAGTTTACAGTAAGCTAGACTAAATTACACTCACTTGACAGAAACCATAATTGTCCTCAGCTGTTGGCAGGTTGCTGTTTGGAAAATCTGCTTCTCCTGACAGCGTAAAATTAGATTCAGAGCCATTGCCAACAAATGCAAACCAGTCCTGCAATAAAGTAATGCAAAGCAAGACCTGTCGTCAGACGACGACAAGGCTATTGGACAAAAAAAAAAAAGAAAACAGAAAAGTTGGCTTACAGGTCCACCCATGAAAATACAGTAGAGATATCTCTTACCACAATAGTGTCTTGATGTTTTCCATCGAAGGGCAGGAACTCCCGGATGCACACCTCGAAACTTTTAGAATTTACATTTTCCAACCAAACATACATAGCGTCATTCGGCTTTGTGTCACGTGTGTACCTAGCTGACGCAAACACAGATGGTCTTCCGGGAAAACTCTGCAATGTTGTTAAATATATGAATTTATATCTGTGGAGTCAATTTACCTCAGCTTTAATAAAAATCATACGGCTTGACATTGCATAATGGCTTTAAGATGAAGATATGTATCGGATAGTTGAGAGGGAGAAGCTTGAAGTCTCTCCCAATTCCTCTCTTTTTTTACCTTGCAGAGTTTGGACTTTGCAACCCACCGACAAGATTTCTGAATATTGAATTGCCTGTCTGAATGACCACAAAAATCTGTCCGACATGAAGTGAACAGGCTTCACTCCGCAAGTTGGTCTAAAGTCTTTTTTATTGGGGTAGAACATACTCCGAGGATTTGACGTCAAACTTTGGTTTTGCTTTTCTTCTAACCTGTGAGAAGGTAACTTTTTCACACTTAGTTTCCGTTGTCCATATTCCACTAAACGAAACACTACCACGCGTCATTTGTGGATAATCTTGGAAAGCCAACCAGTTGATGATTCCTGTACCATTTGATCCAATACCTGACTCACGTGCACACACATCAAAGTCACGTGTAGTGACGGACTGAACCCACATAGCCGAGGGTGAATGGACACGTGAAAACTTCTCACCATGGCTCACCGTCACATAGATGTTAACCTGTAATTTTGAAGCCAGGACGCACAAGGGATTATGCTAACATAATAGGAATAATCTGTACACGCATTTCAAGCAAAACAATTTAATATTTTCAAACGATCGACGCATCTTGCTGTTCCATAGCCCATTAATGCTACTTATTGTTTGATCAGGTCGGAAAGTACTTAGTTGAAGGATTTAACCTTTCCTTCTCGCAGAACCGTTTAGTTTCTGCCTGACTGCATATTGGATTAACAGTTGCTAGTACCTGTCACGTGACAGAGCTGCTTGTCTATTGCTTACAAGAAAGATGAATATTATTTCTTAGGTGCTAATCTCTGGAACTTGCGAGAGGTGTCTGGACTTTTCAATTTCCGGGGCTTCATTGTGAATTGTGTCTAATTTGTCTTTTGATCCCCCTTCCTAATTCGTGGTATTTAAAGTTGGAGATACGAAAGTGGAGAACATAGATAAAACAAGAAACCTATTTCACGTGGGGAGAAGTGCAAAATAAAATCGAGTCGATCCAAAGATCGATCAAAAATGAATTTGATCGAATGGAAAGACATCTTAGACATTTTCTCAGTGTTGTTCTACCGTAGACCTTCCATTACCGCCTGGTGATGTTGGATGGTGCCAAGAAATGCTCCGGATCATGAACTAGTACTTACCGTCCCCGATCCACTGAATGTTTTGGGAAATACAACGTTTGTACAACGAGGCAGTCGACAGTGTTGAGAGGGTGAACAAGCACTGCTACAGCTCCAACCCTGCAGAGTCTGAGAAATGTTAAGCTTGCCAGTTTGGAGGGAGATACCTACATGTAAGGAGAAGCATCTTTATTAAAATGATCATTTAGCGTACAGCGGAGATAAAAGGGAAATATTTTTCTTATATTGGGCATTGCAACTTGGCCTAGAAGTTCAGATAAAACAAACAACGGATCTAAAAGCTACTGATGTGACGAACATGTTAAAATGCACCTTCAGCAAAGAACTATTTGAACGCAGAGCAATTTTTTATTGAATGATGTAATTAATCGGGTGTAGTTCTGGTTTTGCATAACTTCACTCTCGCGTCATCTTGTCAAACGATCAGATTCAAAACTGTTTTTACTTTGAGTTATCACTGACTAATGTTAATGTCAACCTTCGTTTTGTGTGACCACTGCAGTCAGTTTGCCTTTGGTTTTCAGACATTATTCCAGTAGAGCCGAAATCGTTTTTATGTACCACACTTACGTGACTAGTTTCCTTAATAAGGAGAGAAATAATTTTCTAGAGTAAGCTTATCCAGCAGATAATGCAGGTAAATTCCAGTTCTAGATGACAATTAGAATTTGTAGTCGGATTTGTTAATTGTTTCAGTTTAACGTTTTGACCTTATCAGCTGAACTAGGACGGATTTCTTTTACAAGCTGATATTCTTCATGCAGCGCAAGTGTAGAATTTATCATTCTGGTTACTCTATTACTAGAGCATGTTTGTTTCTACAAATACTCGGTGATTTTGCTCTTTTTTCCATGAATGGATCAGAGAAAAACCAGTGAGGAAGATTTGGTGACAAAGTCAAGGCATTCCAGCTCTGAAGTTTTGCAGACCCAACGGTAACCATCCAGAAAACACTGCGATACTAGCATGTAAACAGAACTTTTATAACGTGCGTATCCATGCGAAGGTGGTAACTTTTTCTCGAGGAAGATACGACTGAAGAGCTTTCATTTTCCGTATTAAGCGTGTATTTTGGTGTTTTGCAAGATTTCAGTCAGACAGAAACCAAAAAGTCAAAGATGACATTCTTCACGACTTAACGGATCAGAAAATTCAACTTCTTCGTGCGAGCTAATACCTGCCACGTGACTGACATTTCTTTTTGTTTAAGCTTAAGGCAGAGGTGACGAAATCACTTGACATCCCTTTTATTGATTATTATTTCTATGCTTCCTTGAGAAGATAACCAAATTTTTCCATTTCTGATAGGATCTACTGTCTGATAGCCTTTCGCTGTAAAGCCTGCTTAATTCTCAAGTGTCTTTGAATTAAGTTCAAACATTTTTTACAAAAGAAAAAAAAGTTTTTAAAACGAAAAATAAGACATTTCGGTGGTAGTTACCAAAAAAAATTGTGAAGTAACTTTTATTGCGAAGCTATGTAACATCAAAATCTCCTACCCAAGAGAAAAATGTCTTTTTTGATATAACGGTAACAACTGCATGTAATAAAATTTTTCGGTATTAGACAATTTCTTTTTTTTAATTTGAACAAAAAGATTGCTATGAATGTTAAAACTTGCGCTTTCCCTAATTCACGGATAGGGATCCTGCCCGAAACAACAATTAAAGCAGTTCGGCCTCAGTCAAAGGAAAATTGAAACTTAGGGAAGGTTTGACGAACAGAAATGGTGATCATAAAAGATTGTAAAAGAAACATTTTTTTTCTCTCACGAGTTGCTCTAATATATTCATTTATGGGTCCTATAGAAATAGAGAGCAACAACACTATGAAAGATGAAATTATTTTCATCAGAAATGACATCACTTTGATGGCTTTTATCATAAACAATGAATTTTGAGGAGTCGACACCTAAAGTTGAGATCGAATAGATTTTTGCTTTACTACATCCGTTTTCCCTCCAAAATATATTTCAAGAAACTAGGCTATATTACAGTGAGATAGGCTGTGATATCTGTCTTAACAGCCCTAAAAGAGGACTGAAGAGGAAAGTGATAACTTAAACTCAGACTTATCACATTTGAAGCCGTAGTTTTTTGGAGAATACCATGAATTTCTGTGTCTAGTTCAATCTTAATTTCGTCCATGTGCAGTTGTTCTTTTCCTACTTGATCGTCATGGGATGACTTGTACACGAAGTCTTACCTTTCACAGCTGATAATAAGCTTCCAAAGATGAGAACAGTCAGCATCAACATCGTTGAACAAGTCATCCTCAAAGACTTACTTTACATGCACCGAATGATTGTGATCTGTATCTGTGATGTGTGATTTATAATTCAGTACTGAAATCAGTGTTGTTTTTGGCCAAAATAGCTTCCTACTTAAGCAAAGTATCATGTGTATGAAAAGAAAACAACACCATATCACCGACGCAAATTGTTCATCTCTAAGTGTTTGATTCTGACCCAGAGGGCAATAACATCACGTAGCAGTATGATACACATTTCCAAGTGATTCACTGGGTAATGCAATTTGTAGATTACTCAGCCGTTTGTCTATTTACTTATTTAGTTGGAAAAACCTCTGTAAAGTATTTCAGACTCTGAAGCGAGATCCCCTCTGTAAAAGTTGTTGCAAACTGTGATTTGATTTGTTTGCTTCCGTGAGAAGACGGGCAAAGTTTTGTAATATTTTTGAGGATTATTCTACGGCTACCTGCAAAGGAATACTAATATTTCGAGGCTCTTTCTTTAAGTCCAAATTCATTGCTCAAAATAACAGAGAAAAATATACTTAAAACGGATTAATAAGGCGGGTTAAGACTTGTTGGCAAGACCAAGGGTTCCATCACGATATCATAACAGACTAGTTATACTAAGAAAAAAAAACCAGTTATCTGTCAGAGAGATCCCTTATACCAAATATATACGCATGCGTAAAACATCGTTTGATAACAGTGCAAGTTTTGAACCATTTCATGAATGCGTTTGTCCGATTCTCGAAAAGGGGGCGTGTCTGAATTTGACCGCGGATCTCTCTGAAGCGTAAAGCATAACTGCACTTAACAGTTGAACTATTGTCTCTGTTTTTCGTCGAATTTGCTTCCCCTTCGTGTGCAAGTATCATATGTATCAGTGAGAAATGGGGTAAAGAGGATAAAAGAGGGATTAATTCAATAACTGTAGCTTTTACGTTTTTTTTTGTCTTCGTTGCAATAAGCCGTTTCAAAAGAGCTCCCAACTAAAAATGTGTTGCTGGCCAAAATTCAAATAAACACGTTAACTGGAAATTATAAAAGGTTAATGTTCGATCAAACTTACACGACGGGTTGCTTTTGATTATGATTTGGCAATGGTTAGTTTAAAATTGCAATTTTTAATGTGCGTGTTTAGGCCCCGTAGATAATTAAGAGCGGAGCGGATTATCATGTATTCCAAATTCCAATTCGAAAAACATTAACGGCTTACGTTTTCTAAAATCCATAAGCCATGAATGGTTTCTTAATCTTGGTCTTCATTGTTTTTCTTCTGGCTCGATTTTGCTTAATAACTGGCTTCTCATTGTGTTTGATGTTGACCCAGAGGGCAACTAACAAAGATAGCTTACACATAACTGCATGATTCTTAGGATAGTAAGATTTGTTTAGGATTTGTTATTTTTTTTTCACAGGTAAGAAACAGTCTAGCCTGCCTCAGTACTAAAGGATTTCGACCAGGAAAAGTCAGTAAGGTACGTTTCCAGTTGTAGTTACTTTTTAGCCATTAAATCAACTTGGAAATTAACCCTCTGACCCCTAAAGAGATTAACATCCAATTTCTCAAAAGTAAAAACTTTTATTGCGGGCAAGATATTTTCTCTCCTTTTCTTGACCGTAACACTAGAGGAAAAGTCTACAAGAGAACTCTCTGATTTGATCCCATAGTCTTCCCTCTCTACATCAAGGCAGCAATGGTCCAGCCCACCCAAGATTACACTAAGTCCCCCTCCCCCTCCACCCTAACCTCAAATTTGGATGGCTTATGGTTTTGAGAGACATCGTTTGAGAGTTTTCCTCCCGAGAGAGTGTATCTTATAGCTTTCATGAAATCCTCAAGTTGTCGTTTGTTCTCCGTGAAAATGTATGTTTGAGAAAATCCCAGGCAGCTAAAAAAAATAATGAGATATTATACAAAATGCATTCCCTGTCAGATAAATTGTGTCTTTCAAGATTAAAGTGTTGGTTCGAAGACGCAGATTTTCGCCCAGCCACGTGTTAGTCTACTGTCTTTGATAACGTGCACCAGAAATTTAAATATAATTCTAAAAGCTTGAGAAGGTAGGTTAATCAAAAGTATCAGAATGTGGTTAGTAGACTACCTTTGAGACTGGCTGACAGACTGAAGGAGCCTCAAATCCTCACTCTAGATCATCGTGTAATGCAACAAATATATTACCATTACTTGCTAGTCACACTAGCAAAGCAGCCTGATCAATTCCCCGTCGGTGGAATGAGAGATAACTTTTTTACAGTTTAAGTAGTTAAGGCTAAACCTTAGGAACTTTTTCACTGAAATACTGCACGTTATGACTTAGCAATTTGCCACATTCACTTGTTATTTTTGGTTGTAAATCACTGCTGGTTTCGGATGGGCCCCTATCTAATCAAGGACCCTTCCCATATAATTCGGAATCAGTAAGGTAATTACGGAATCAAACTTTTTGGAGTTCATTCTTCATAATTACTTCTCTAATTTATCAAGACATCAATTAAAACAGATTATTTTCCTTTAAATATTTTTGTAGAATACATCAACTTCAACAGGTTGAAAATAGAAAGTTCCTGCCGAGAAAGACTGGGTGAAGCTGCCAGAGCTGAAAGCAATGAGTGATGGGATATAGGTCCATCCAGCACTCGAGTAAGTGTTTTTGCTGGTTGAAGCATAGCTGTGAAGATCATGTCCAGTACCAAATGAGGGACCACTGTGGTAACAACTGGATTTATGGACTTGTTATAATGCCTATCCATGTGGCCTGACTTGTTAACCAATGAGAACAAAAAGGCCTTTGTACTGTACTTGTATACACAATACTGTACTCGTTTGTGGACTAACATTAACTGACCAATCTTCCCATGGGGCTTTTCAGTGCCAATACAAACAAACACTGTGAATAAATATAACGTTTTAAAAAAATCCCAAGTGGCCGGAGTCAGACCAGTTGGCTATTCACAAAGTAGAGCTAGGGAGCTGAACTCGAGGGAACCGAGGACAAATCCAGTGAGCAGCACGATAACATTTGGACCTTTTTCGCATGTAAATATTTCTTCGAAGAAAGCTTTTGTCTCGAAATGTTTCTTTGCAATTTCCTTGCTTCGAATGTTTTGAAATCTGGTCGCCAAAGTTGGCCCTAACAATCCTTTTTTTTAGTTTGGGAAAAAGTCGATGAACTGTTCTTATCTCATCAGAGCTTGCATTGATCAAAAGGCGATTTATTTGAGATTCATTGCGTGCTGTCTTTCTCAAAAGTATTCAATCGTGAGAAAACAACCGCGCCTCAAGCAACTTTTACGCTTTTCTCGTGCTCTCCAAACTTCTCGCGTGCTTCATATCCCCAAGCTCGCGCGCTGGCTTATGAACCAATTATTAAACTTTATCTCATTTGTAACAACGGGTAGATGAATAACTTTCTAAAAGTTGTGTTTGGCGAAATTGTCCTGCAAAATCACTGATCTAAAACATAGGCATGCGCAGCATGCAAGAGTTAATTTTTTTAGCTGGGTAGGTCGAAATGGGACACTTTGTGTTTCTAAATTGTTTTCTCTATTATTGTTATTTTCTAACTACTTCTGAGCAAAAATAAAATGCATCGGTGCCACGCTTACTGTAGTCTACTTCGCAGCCGATGTTTGGTCTCATTACACAACGCCCTCTATTCCCCGTCGAAGAGAGAGCTATTGCGTGACGAGACCAGATAACGGTTACGGAAGAGATTACGCTTACAGCCGTTTCTCTAACAGAAAAAATATCAAAATTATTCGTCTACAGTTAGTCGCCTCAAAAATATAATTCCACGTAATTTTTTACTGCGAAAAACACACTGAAAATGTTGCATCTCCAGTCGCCCCTAACCAAAGATATATTGCGATCTCATATAAGGAAGATATACTGTGGAAGAGAAAAGGATAATATTTCAAAGACGGATCCTTGATTGGTTATTGCCTATCTGGACTTTGCCCTCTGTGTGTGAAATACGTGATAAAATGTAGGCTGTTAACAAGGAATTAACACGCAATTGGGGTAATTCCAAGGTAGCTAAAAGCAAATTTTACTCGTAGAAAAAGTAAAAACGCGGGAGAATGCGTGGAAAATTCACTATCGGTAGCTTAAAGTTTTATGTTAAATTTTTCATTGGTGTTGGATAATGCTGTTATGATACGTGATAAAATGCAGGTTGTTTACAAGGAAATGCCATGTGATGGAGGGAAGTCTTATGTGGTAAAATGGAATTTAATCGGTAGAATACAATTCAAGCACGTGAAAAATTGCCTGATGTTCATGTAGTGCAATGATTGGGTATGTTCTGATTGGACTTTGGACGTTGTTTTCATAGTACGTGATGGAATGTAAGTTGTTTGGCGCGTGTGATGTGAGTAAAGGAGTAGTGGAAAAAACACGTAAAAAATAAAGGCGAACCTTCTATATCCCGATAGATCTCGACCTCACTCGACAAGGCTCTTGCAAAGGCCACAATCATAATACTTATCATATAAGCCCAAAATTTCTAGTTAATGCCACTCTGTGTGCACAGCCCCCTGATTCCACGACATGATTTATAAGAAAACAACACCCAAACGTTGTGATTGGCACGTGACATCCATATACTGTGATATGATTGGTGCGAGTTACATACCCTAATTCGGCAATCTTATTGGTGCGAGATAAGTACCTTAATGCAGCAATCTCATCGATGCGAGATACATATCCTAGTGCGGCGTTCTGATTTGTGAGAGGGATGAGCGCGGGCTCATATTCCCGAACAGGGGCTGGTAATTGAGCCTATGGTTTGGGTTCCTTGCAACTTCGAGGACACTTACCTTCCAATTCCCTTCGTTATTCCAACAGCTTCATTTTAATGCCGACTTCTAGAACCTTCCTAAAAACTCAAACCAATTTGATTTTTCTTCAGGAGAATTGAAAAAACCGAAGAGCATCAAAAGATGTTGAAAATGTCGTGCAAATGAGTTTTACTCACTGGAATTAAGTTGATGATAATAATTTGCGATACCATTAAAACTAAACATGACGTCTTTGGCGATCAGTTAAGAACTATTGTCACATTAATAAAAGTCTGATTGCTAAATTGCAAATATGAAAAACGCACAAACGACATTGGCAACCTGATGGTAAACAAACTTGTTATCGGTGCATCTGTGATTGTTTCGTGGAGTCTGGAAGAAAACAGATAACCACCTTAATTTCCTCCAATGCGTATCAGCATTTTGATAAGGGCTTTTTTGAACTCTTTTATTGCTTCTATAATTTTTCATTCTGTTTGTTCTAAATCTACATTACATAACAAGCCTTTAAAGTGACGCGTATTCTACAAGGGAAACATGCCAAGTATAAGTCATTCTAATTTCTGAATTAACTTTTTTGAGTTTTTAAATCATTGCGGTTTTTTTTATTGATATCATTACGCTTGATTTGACACGTTTGCTTCAAGTAGTTTCATAAAATACTTCAACTTCATCTGGTTGAAAATTGAGGCTTCCCGCCAAGAATGATTGGGCGAAGGAGCTGCGATAACTGTGGCCAGATGGTGGACTATAGGTGTGTCCAAGTTGTGAGTAAGAATTGGTGTTGGACGAGGCGTAACTGGCAATGTAAATATCGTGTCCGTCACCAAATGCAGGTCCACGGTCGTAACAACTGTACATGGAATAAGAATTATAAGAGCCATACACCCCCGTTTGAGACAGTTTCACTGGTGCCCAGCCCGGCTTGTTAACCAATGAGAATAAAAAGGCCGATGCACTGTACCAGTGCACACAATTGTAAGGTAATTCTAAAGGAAAATGAAAAAAAAGATGTTAGTTAAGTTTTAGACAGCCATACAACCTCGGCTTTTTTCCCCATAACCCATATTTCTTTTATTATTAGTAGTAGCAGTAGTAGGATCAGAACTGTTCTATGTTCTCTGTTACGTCTATGTTTTAATCTACTTATATTCCAGCGTGAGCATCAAGGGATATTTAATCACATAACTTAGTTTTTCTTGTGCAAGTATTTTTACCTATTTCCAATTGTGATGATTCGAATATTTTGAAATAATTATACTTGTGAAAACTAGATACGAAAGAGTAAACTGCTATGAGAATAGTCGAGTTTTTGTTGTCCACTGATGCGAGTTAGTTACCTTTAAGGTAATACCAGTACTTCAACGTACAGCTAGAAACTGAATATTAAGTAAATAAATCAAAGTATAATTCAACTGTCCATACTTTTCAATCACCGCTTCAAATATTTGTTTAAAATTTTGAGTATCTCATGAAATCCTGCGGCTCGTGCACAGGATATCATATGCTAGGCTGAGTCATTTATCACACTGGTTTATTCTTAGTAACGCGTTTACTCGATTTCTCGCCGCGGCGTTATATACATTTGAGTGCTTCCCAATCAGCTTATATTCATGGGCGGCGTTTATTCGAGGGCGGTATGCTTTTATTTAAACTCATGTTTCTTAACTCATTGACATCAATTAGAGTAAAACATTTGTAAGCAGTATGTAAAATGGAAATTTTTCCGCGACCGTAAGTCTGAAAAGATCGAGAATCGGCCAACAGGTGAAGTATCGAATTTCTCTCCATTTGGCTCAAAGAAGCCTGGAGAAAAACTAATCCCTGAAAGGGCATTGGAAGCTACGTTTTTTTTTTAAATTTAGAAATATTTATACACGCCTTCCCCGGTTGAAAATTAGTGCAGGTTTCAACAACCCGTACAAACGAAGAAAACCCTGTTTGAGCATATCCTTCACTTCTTCCGCACATTGCTCACGTCGTGCTCTTGTAACTGGTGAATCAAATAATTCATCTAGCGCCGATTCGTTTTCAACGGTTGTGCAGAAAAATATACTCGTTTGAAAACCTGAACTTAAAAAGCAAGTAAGGGCATGATCAGTTTATATTGCATATAAGACGCAGCTATTCCTCATATATGCTGTGGTCCCTAGTGCATTGTTTTGTTTTGCTTAGTTTGGATTGTTTATTGTTTTTTTGTTGTTTGTTTGTTTTTTTAAATAAGAAACCAGATGCATTCTCAGATTTTAATTTGTTGGTTCTACTTCAGCAAGGAGAAAAGGCAAGCAAATTCAATCAATCACGCACTGACTCCATGATATGCTGGTGTATCCACCAAAGATGTATTTTCCCACACGGATTATAGTCACTGTGGGCCCTTTGTTGTCACACAATGAGTGGAAGGTAGTACTGGCCCAACCATCCACTGATGCTCGCCAACAGCGCTTCCAGTAAGAGGACTGGCTCTGTACAACAGGGTTTAACCAATTGCTCAGGATTCCAAGGTAATTGTCATCGTTTGCCAATATTGCGGAAGAATCCAGGCCTTAATAAAGAGATAATTATTATTTAAACCTCGACAACCTATTTTTTAACACAACATTTTTACATGTTAATGTATAAAGAAGACGTGGAACATTGACACAACAACAACACACAACTGAACTATAGAGAATTTTTTCATGACGCAGGCATAAACAAGGTTCACGAGGCAGGAAACTTGTCCACTTCTGCGATGTCGAAAGCGTTATGCTAATCAATACATTAGGAATAGTTTGATAAATTTTGAACTCAGTCGTCACGTACGGGAGTACACTTTTCATGGACGGGAAAATAAAATTAAAAACCAGTTTTCCAGAACTATTTTTGAGATTGATAAAAGACTGAAAAGTGTTTTTCACAGTTTGAAAAGAAAGCCAGTTTTTGGTTAAAATATCTAGTTAAGAACGCCAAACTTTCACTTCGCTGCTTTACTGACAATTTCTTGTCAAACTTAACATATTTCCCTTCCCAAGATTTGTTGGGCATAAAGGGCCATAACAATACATTTAGAAGAAGTGATTTAGAAAAACATTTAACCATAAAAAATTGCGAGAAAACATTTTTTAAAAAACATTTTAAGATTGTTAAAAAACGACGACGGCTCGACGTTGGCTAAACGTTATTATCAAGTAAAAAATAAATATATTAGTAAGTTCCAGTCTATCAATACCAAAATAACAATGGGTGATAAAAAGTTAGACCGCGAGAAAAGAACAATGGTAATTAAACAAAAAGTTTGGTACGTATGGAGTCCGTCTGGATATCTAAATTAGGCTTGAGATTCTTGATACACAGCATTTCAAAGACTAAACAATCAAATTTTCCCTGGCACTTTCTTAAAACTCTAAATTGATTTTCTTTCAGCAATGCGTTGATGAAGGTGTCGGGCTGTGTACCCCACATAATCTGCACCGCACAGATCACATGAGAAACGATAAATAACGCATTGCCGATTCATAGCTGACGGCTTGATTTCTTTCAGTTAAGATCGTGCCCCAATTTCTTGCTCACAAAAACAGGTTGCAACTAAGATCGCCCAACTGCTTCCGAACCGCGTTAGCGGCCACCTGATCTTTGAATGGAAGACTAATTCTTACTGTGCTACTATCATCGGTGTTTCTTTCCGCTGTGCCTGCCGAAACATTTCTATAAAGAAACTTACTGATTAGAAATGTTTTATCGCTATTTTTTTATAGTTAAACAATATATTTCTAGTTGTTTTTAGGCACATCTCACCTGAATGGTGATAACAATCCAATCCATCTCCAACGTATCCAGCATTACACTTGCACGTGTACGAGCCACGTTCATTTGTACACGTTGCCATTTTGTGACAGTAATTCAGATCATTTTGGCATTCATCTAAGTCTAGTAATGGAATGAAATAAAGCAGTGAACACTCTTTCAGCACGTAAGAAACAGAAATGGTCGAGTTAAGCCTCTAATTTCCCATTACTAACGGAGCGTATTTCAGTACCTTGAACTGATTGGGAGTATCGCTGGTGTCCATGCCTCCCATTCCCCCCTAACAAAGTTATGAAGTTTCTTTGATAGGCAAAGTGGTCCACTCTGAGTCTCACCCAGACCTTTGGATGTGCAATCCAGCGTGCTTACTATTGCACAGCAAGGTCTGAGCGCACAACTGCACCCCGGAACAAGAGGGTCAAATCTGAGCCTCACAGTAGAATCATTGCGTCGTGTTTTTAACATGATTAAGCAATATACCCAGCTTTCTCAGTGCCTCGCTCCATCAAGGAGATCTAATGATTTTCAATGAACTGACCTGAAAGGAAACATGGCAAAATGCTAGGACTTACATGTGGTGGACTGACATCTTATGCAGGAAGAGGGGGATATTCCAAGTTTCCTTACGTTTCCAAAATCAGGATAAGCCTAGATAGAGCTAGATCATTACACAAGTAGCATTGTTAAACGGTAATTAAACTTTGCTCGTGAAAATGATCCGTTAAAGATTCATTTGATGTGTTTGACTTACCTTTCTTACAAGTAAACTGATGACAATCACTACACTGCACGTCGTTCCATTCGTAACTATATTTCACACCAAGAGCGTGCACACAATCCTCTTCTTTGAAATTATTTGGCTGACTCTTGGCCCAGGCTGTATAGTTTCCATGTCCACGATCCACCCAAGTAAAGGCACCCTCTATTGATCTGTCATTTAAACCCAGCCAGGACTTCTCTCCATTATGGCGATGTTGTATATAAACATTTTCTTCATTGTTGTTGACATCAATAAGGACTGAGCTTTCTTTTCTACATTCTTTTACTGCTGTGGTCCAATCTGCACAGGTATCACTCGTTAAGTAACAGAAGCCATCAAAGTAGCTCCATCCGGGATCGCAGATGTCTAGAAATGAATGTGTACTTCAATCTTGAAATAATCCATATTCTTGCAAGCTTGCTAAACGATTTTTGCATCTCTTCCTTCAATAAATTGTTGCAATCTAACCCCAAAGTGCAGTTGATTTATTTGGAATGATTACTGACCTGTAAGGACCGCGTAAGCCACTGACACAGGATCATATCCAGTCTCGTACAATTCCTTGACACATACTCTGAATCCACACTCGTTCAAATTCTGCAAACAATCAAAATTTCTTAACTAAATCTTTTTTCGATTTCTAGGCTGTTTTCGCATCAGAAGAGGGGGAAAAAAAGAGCGTGATATCGATCTCGTTCGAGATTTATAGGTTATTTCACGGTTGGTGAGCGCGTACGATTTTTATTCACAAGTTGTGTAAAGGCAGAACTAGAAAGAATAGAATAAGACATCCGGAAAATATGTCGAGATAGTTCCACGGAAGTTCAAAATTTGAAATACAGAAGCGAAAACCCGAGACTTCATTCAGCTCTTAAAGAGTCAATCCGTCATTTGTCTCGTCTCGCCTTTCAAAACAAGAAATTCATGGAACAGAGCAACATCGTGTCTGGTCTTTTTCTTGGTGTTTTCATTTTCCTGTCCGTCTATGAACTCTCCTACTGATGAATCTAGGCTCTAAAAACAGTTAGTCTGATTTGAAGCCATCTTTCTAAAGAAAAATGCAACTAGACTTTTAGAAATGTGCTATTTGTCAGTCAAGAGGAGCGGCGAGCGAGCGACACGGTTTTGTTCACTAGTAAAAATAATGATATAGCCAATCGGAGCGTCGATACGTCGTTTTTCACTAGTGAAAAAAATCGTATGACCAATCAGCTGGCTTCTCTAGTGTAAAGAGACTATTTTTATTTTGATGCTTTTTGGCGCGTAAATCATGGTATGTATATAATAAATAGTCTTATACTACATCACAGGTGAGGAAATTTGATAATCAGTCATCTACTTTTAAGCTTATCTCCTGTGTTATTTTGAAGTCATAAAGAAGTGAGCTTTTTACCTCAATCCACGTAGAAATACCGTTATGAACTGGTGCCAAGTTTCCACTTGTTGTTGTGCTGTGATTTGCTGATAATTGGACGGTTGGTGTCGCATTATAATTTCGTGTAAAGTGCACAAACTATTAATGAAATAAAAAGAAAGGTTCATGGGGGGAATCCTGGAATATTTTTTCTCATAAGATCATTTTACACTTACCTCGCAATAAGCATTGTTGTCTTCATCTGTTGGTGGAATCGTGTTTGGAAAGTTTACAGAGCCATGTTCGGTGAAGAGCGGCTTATGCAACTTAGTAAACGCCAACCAGTTCTAGGAAGAAGCAGTGTACAAAACAAAAGACTTACTTCGAGTAAGTACAGTATCGTATTGTAATGAGTTACATTTGTTGCCACACATAAAGGACCTTGAAATTCAATACAATAAACAATTAAAAAACATTTTTACTGTCGAAACAGGGAAACTTTGGAAGAGTCCTAATCAAGCTTAATTACAAGTGTAGACATCAAAGTACTCTACTGAATCAAGCTTATGCCTTGAAAGGACTGAAGTAAAATGTCCCTAATCTCAGATCTTTAACGGTCTTACAATTGAAGCATTTGGACTGAAACAAATCACATACCACATAAACATTTTGATGTTTGCCATCAAAGTTTTGCAGTTCCCGCAAACAAGCTTTGAACGAGTTCCTGGTTACATCTTCTGTCCAAATCAACGTAGCGTCATGTTTCTTTCCACTTCTATGATGATTGGACGTCACGAGAACAACTGGTGAATCCTTAAACTTGTCCTAAGCAAATAAAAGTAAATCATTCCGTCACACATCTTGCCAAATTTTCGCAGTTTTATTTGAGTTTGGTATAAATGGATAAATAAACTGAAATCAGTTTAATCAATTGCTGTCTGTTTTAACCTCATGCTGGCGGTCTTTTTATTTCAACTTTGTTATTTTTATTGTTATCAATATTACGACAACAGTTGACTCTCACCCTACGGACAATTCGCTATTTCGGCCCGCCATGCAGACAAGAGCCAGTCCCCTTGCAAAACGCATAAAGAAATGGCTTAAATAAGCTCCCCTTATTACGGACCCTCGCTGTTAGGGGAATGCGGAAACTTTTATGCCGTCCCTCCCCTGCGTGTGAATTCTTTTCATTTGTTTTTTTCACTACTTTTCAATTGTTTTTCTCTCACTTTAGCGGTTACGGAAGTTCTTCGTCTAATATCCATTATTTCATATTTTTAGAGAAAAACAATTTGTCTTTCTCTTGTTCCCCGCTATTACGGACTCATGCTATTACGGACATTAATCTCCCTCCGAGGGTGTCGTCTGTATCATTATTTTACCATTATTTTTGTAATGCTCATTTTGCCATGGAAACCTACTTTTGGAAACGTCACATCTGCACAATTTGTTCCTGACCACCATTTTGTCATCTTGATTCTTCCCGTCGTTCCCTCCGTTGGTGCTCCTTGGTACGCCATCCAATCAACAGTGGCGAAAGGATTGAAGTTGTTTCCATTTCTCCCAGATTGCATTGCGCATACTGTAAAATTTTGTGTATTGATTCTTTCGGTCCAGGATGTGATAGCATGGTGCACTGTGACGGAGTCATTCAAGTTCATGTGATTAAGGGTGATCTGTACTTGAACCTCTTTGTTCGGATAGAAGCGGTATGGTGGGAATACCACTGTCTGGCAACTTGAGTCTGACCAATCGGGAACTCGAAGAAGCTTGACACGACCATGAACAATTGGAAAGCCTGCAGAGATTTAAAAAGCTGAAGTGCCCTCCGTGATCATTTTTCTGTTATATCTCAAGTTGCTGAGGGGTTTCATGTATATCCTTGAAAACTTTAACTTGTTTGTATAAATGATTAAGGGGGTAAGTTTCTAAAGAAACTAGGGTGCTGCGTCGGTGGGAGTATATGGTATATAGTTAGAGGTAAACAAAGCTCATTCTCATAGAAATATGACCTTACCCTCACAGCTGCCAGGATGATACAAGGTATTATTGTCCATTCCCTTGCAAAAGCTCAATTTGTACAGGCATTCATTGTCATATGTTGTTCCATTTTCCGTGCAGACAGGATCTTGATACGACGGACAGTTGTCATTACACACACAGCGAGCTTTGTGAGCACTGTAGGTTTTGCAGACTCCGAATGATGGGCAGAATACGTCTAGACAAGGATTGAGGTCTGTGGATGCCAAGCAAAATGATAGTTACCACACAATGAGAAAAGGATTCCAAAGTTAAGCTGCAGAATGGTTACACTAACGTATTAAAGTTGAATCCAAACCTCCGATTACGACGTAGTTAACCGACAGTGGGTCGTGTTTGCTTCCTGTTCCACTCAAGTCTTTGACGCAAATCCTCATGGATATGAGGCTAACTTCCTACACAGAGATCAGAGAGAACAAGGTGAAACAACAGCAGAATAACAATCATAGAAATAGATTGGATAATTTGGTTTTATCAACTGACTCTATAACATAAATTGGTCACCGTAAATGGTTTGTAGCATGACGTTTCGATCGTGAGCCCTTTGTAAGAGTAAAAAAGAAGTATACTGTTTATTTACCTCAACCCAGGCTGATATGATGTTATTGTTCGGTGAGACAAGGCTTTTCATGCTGACTTGAGGGTTGTACAGATGATGCACAGACACAAGGACAACAGGTGAAGCATAAAAGGTTGTGTTAAACTGCACTTTCTGGAAAAATAAAAAGAGACAAAAACCTAAAATTTGAAACAATATGCATGATGCTAGCTGTTTTTTTGCAAACCAACCCTTTAAATGATTCTTTGCCTTAAAATAGGTGCTCATAGTGTACAGTAAACTCGACTAAATCACACTTAGAAGGTAATTTAGTGTTAACAACTGGGTTGAAAAGGTAAATTAGCGTTGGCCCTTCGTAAGAGCGATTGAAAGAGCTGACGCTTCGAAACGTTGGCCCTTCGTCAGAGCGATTGACGGTGGCTAATTTACCTTTTCAACCCAGTTGTTAACACTAAATTACCTGCTATACTCTCCCACCGACGCAGCACCACAGTTTCTTTAGGAACTTACCCCTTAATCACACTTACTTGACAGAAACCATAGTTGTCTTCAGCTGTTGGCGGGTTACTGTTTGGAAAATCTGCTTCTCCTGACAGCGTAAAATTAAATTCAGAGCCATTGCCAACAAATGCAAACCAGTCCTGCAATAATTGAATGCAAAACAAGAGTTTCGGTCAGACTACAACAAGGTTATTGGACAAAAAAAAAAAAAGAAAAGAAAAGTTGGCTTACACGTCCACCCATGAATTTACAGTAGAGATATCTCTTACCACAGTGGTGTCTTGATGTTTTCCATCGAAGGGCAGGAACTCCCGGATGCACACCTCGAAACTTTTAGAATTTACATTTTCCAACCAAACATACATAGCGTCATTCGGCTTTGTGTCACGTGTGTACCTAGCTGACACAAACACGGATGGTCTTCCAGGAAAACTCTGCAACGTTGTAAAATATATGAATTTATATCTGTGGAGTCAATTTACCTCAGCTCTAATAAAAGTCAAGCAGCTTGACAAAGCATAATTCAAGATGAAGAAATGTATTGGATAGTTGAGAGGGAAAAGCTTGTAATCTCTCCTAATTCTTCTCTGTTTTTATCTTGCAGGGTTTGCTTGTCTGAATGAGCACGAAAATCCTCTGGCATGAAGTAGGTAGGCTTCACTCAGAAAGTTGATCTAAAATCTTTCTTATCGGGGTAGTACATGCTCAGAGGGTTTGACCTCAAACTTTGGTTTTGCTTTTCTTCTAACCTGTGAGAAGATAACTGTGTCACACTTAGTTTCAGTTGTCCATATTCCACTAAAAGAAACACTACCACGCGTCATTTGTGAATGATCTTGGAAAGCCAACCAGTTGATGATTCCTGTACCATTTGATCCAATACCTGACGCACGTGCACACACATCAAAGTCATGTGAAGTGACGGACTGAACCCACATAGCCGAGGGGGAATGGACACGTGAAAACTTCTCACCATGGCTCACCGTCACATAAATGTTAACCTGTAATTTTGAAGCCAGGACGCACAAGGGATTATGCTAACATAAAAGGAATAATCTGTACACGTATTTCAAGCCAAATAACTTAACATTTTCAAATGATCGACGCATCTTGCTGTTCCGTAGACGAGTAAGAAGAGGATACTCGATTACACTGGTCTCTCTGAGCGAGACATGGAGCTTGAGAACATGGATAAAACAAGAAACGTGTTTTACGTGGGGAGAGGTGGAAAATAAAATCCGCTCGATCTAGAGATCGCTCGAAAATGAAATCGATCGAATGGAAAGAGACCACTATCTTTTCAGTGCTGCTCGACTGGAGGCCTTCCATTACCGCCTGGTGATGTTGGATGGTGTCCAGAAATGCTCCAGATCGTGAATTGGTACTTACCGTTCCCGATCCACTGAATGTTTTGGGAAATACAACGTTTGTGCAACGAGGCAGTCGACAGTGTTGAGAGGGTGAACAAGCACTGCTACAGCTCCAGCCCTGCAGAGTCTGAGAAATGTTAAGCCTGCCAGTTTGGAGGGAGATGCCTACAAGTAAGGAGAAGCATCTTTATTAAAAGGATCATTTAACGTACAGGGGAGATAAAAGGGAAATATTTGACTTATATTGGGCATTGTAACTTGACCTAGGAGTTCAGATGGAACAAAATACGCATACAAAAACTACTAACGTGACAAACATGCACAGAACTCTTTGAATGGAGAGCAATTTCAAATTGAATGATGAAATTAATGGGGGGTAGTTCTGGCTTTGCACAACTTCACTTTTGCGTCACCTTGTCAAACGATCTGATGCAACACTGAAATCAATCTCGATTTGGTCCCTGTCGTTCTCCCCGCTTTTCAAGCGGTTACTGTTTTAGTTATCACTGGCTAATGATAATGTCAACCTTCGTTCTGCGGGACCATTGCAGTCAATTTGCTTTGGTTTTTCTACACTTTGAAAAAATATTTAAGGAGAGCCGAAATCGTTTTCATATACCACACTTTCGTGAATAGGTTCCTTAATAAGGAGAAAAATATTTTCCTAGAGGAAGCTTATTCAGCAGATAATGCAGGTAAATTCCTCTTCTAGATGACAACTAGACTTTGCGGTCAGATTTGTTAATTGTTTCAGTTTAACATTTTGACCTTATCAGGTGAACTAGGACGGATATCTTTTACAAGCTGATATTATTTGTGCAGCGCAAGTGTGGAATTTATTATTCTGGTTACTTTACTATATAGAGCATGTTTGTTTTCCACAAATACTCGGTGATTTTGCTCTTTTTTCCATTAATGGATCAGGGAAAAACCAGTGAGGAAGATTTGGTGACAAAGTCAAGGCATTCCAGCTCTGTAGTTTTGCAGACCTAACGGTAACCATCCAAAAAAACAGCGATGCTAGTATGTAAACAGACTTTTTATAACGTGCGTATCCATACGAAGGTGGTAACTTCTTCTCGAGGAAAATACGACTGAGTCATTTGTCGTATTAAGCGTGTATTGTGGTGTTTCGTAAGATAACATGGAGTAGGATTCAAGCAACCGTCAATCCAATGAGCAGTCGGACAGAAACTAAAAAATCAGACATGACATTCCTCACAACTTGACAGCTCAGAACGTTCAACTTGATGCAACTGTGGTCTTTCTGCGAGCTAATACCTGCCACGTGACTGAAATTTCCTTTTATTTTAAGCTTAAGCCAGAGGAGAAGAAACAGTGACCTAACATCGGTTGACTGTACATAACTGTATGATTTACAAAATGCAGTAAACAAAATATTTTTTTATCCTTCTGTGTGAACGATTTCAGACAGGGAAGTGGAATAACATGACCAATTCCAAATTAGATTTCTAACACTAACAAAGAAGTTCCAACACATTGGAAATGACTTTATTCAGAGGAAAGAAAAAAAACGTACTCTTTAAATCTCTAAGTTGATTCATGAAAGAAAGAGGCGATTATCTAACTTGATCATTCTTTGTTATTTCTATGCTTCCATGAAAAGTGAACCAAATTGTTTTCATTTCTTAAAGGTTTACTGTCTTATAGCCTTTCAGTGTAAGCCTTGCTTAACTTTCAAGGGTCTTTAACTTACGTTCAAACATTTATTACAAAAGAAAAAGAAAAAATTTTTCAAAACGGAAAATGAGACATTCAGGTGGCAATTACCAAAAACATTTTGAAGTTACATTTATGACGAAGCTATATCACTTCAAAATCTCTTACCCAAGAGAAGTATGTGTGTTCTCTGATAACAAGGTAACAACTGCATTTACTAACAGAATAAAATTTTTCGGTAGTGAACAATTTTGTTTGAATATCAACAAAAACCTTTCTATGAATGTTAAAACTTGCGCTGTCTTAAAGTCTCTGATAAGGATCCTGCCCGAAACAACAATTAAAGCAGTCCGGCCTCAGTTTAGGGAATATTGAAACTTAGAGAAGGTTTGACGAATAGAACGGTGATCACAACAGACTGTATAGCAAACCTGCTTTTTCTCTCTCGAATTGCTTTGATGTATTAGTTAATGAGTCTCTTGAAATAAAGATCAATAACACTTCGAAAGATGAAATTATTTCTATCGGAAATGACATCACTTTGGTGGCTTTTATCATAACCGCCAAATTTTGACGAGAAGACACCTGAAGGAGATGTCCAGAAGCCTATTGCTTTACTATATCTATTTTCCCTCCAAAATATATTTCAAGAAGCTAAGCTATATCACAGTGAGATCGGCAGTGAGATCTGTCGTAACAGCCTTAAAAGATGACTGAAGAACAAAGTGATAACTTTAACTCAGACTTGATACATTTGAAGCCGTAGTTTGTGGGAGAATACCATGAATTTCTGTACCACAGTCTTCAGTTCAATATCGATTTTGTTCATGTGAAGGTGATTTTATCCTACTTCATCGTGACGGGATGACTAATGCACGAAGTCTTACCTTTTACAGCTAATAATAAGCTTCCAAAGATGAGAACAGTCAGCATCAGCATAGTTGAACAACTCATCCTCAAAGACTTACTTTCCACCGAATGACTGTGATCTGTATCTGTGAATTGTGATTTATAATTCAATACTTAAATCACTGTTGTTTTTGGCCGAAATAGCTTCCTACTTAACCAAACTATGATGTGTATGAAAAGAAAACAATACCATTTCACCGACGCAAATTGTCCATCTCTGTGTTTGATTCTGACCCAGAGGGCAATAACATCACGTAGCAGCATGATACACATTTCCAAATGATTCACAGGGTAATGCAATTTGTATATTACTCAGCTGTTTGTCTTTTTGTTATTTAGTTGGAAAACCCTCTGTAAAGTATTCCAGACTCAGAAGCGAGATCTCTTCTGTAAAAGTAGTTGCAAAACTGTTTTGAGGATTATTCTACAGCCACCTGCAAAGGGATACCAGTCTTTTATGGCCCTTTTCTTTAAGTACGAATTCACTGATCAAAGAAGGAGAAAAATAAGCTTCAAAACGGATTAAGGAGGCATTTTAGGGCTTACTGACAAGACCATGGATTTCGTCACGATTTCATAACAGACTAATTATACTAAGAAAAAAACAGTTATCTCTCATAGCGATCCCTTATAGCAAATATATACGCATGCGCAAAACCTCGTTTGATAACAATGCAAGTCTTGAACCATTTAATGGATGCGTTTGTTACAGAATGCAGAATCTCGAAAACGGGGCGTTATACTTTAACCTCTATGAAGGGTAAAGTATAATATATATATAAATGTTTTTCGTCGAATTTGCTTCCCCTTCATGTAAAGGGGATAAAAGAGGGATTAATTCAATAACTGTAGCTTTTACGTTTTCTTTTTCTACTTTGCAATAAGCCATTTAAAAAGGGAAAGTAGGTAAAAACCTGTTGCTAGCCAAAATTCAAACGAACACGTTAACTTGAAATTATGAAAGGTTAATGTTCGATCAAACTAATAAGACGGATAGTTGTTGAATATGGTTTGGCAAAGATCAGTTTAAAAATTGCAATTTTATAATGTGCGTGTTCAAGCCATATTGATAATTAACACGGAGCGGATTAACATGCATTCAAAATTTCTAATTCGAAAAACATTAACGGCTTACGTTTCCAAAATCCATAAGCCATGAATGGTTTTTTAACCTTGGTCATCATTGATTTTCTTCTGGCTTGTTTTTGCTTAATAACTGGCTTCTCATTGTGTTTGATGTTGACCCAAAGGGCAACGAATAAAGATAGCTCACACGTGATTGCATGATTCATAGGGTAGTAAAATCTGTTAGTGTTTGTTTGTTTGTTTGTTTTTTTTCAGGAAAGAAACAGTCTTGCTAATCTGCCACAGTATTGAAGGATTTCGACCAGGAAATGTTAATAAAGGTACGTTTCCTGTTGAAGTTGTTTTTAAGCTATTAAATCAACTTGAAACGAACCCTCTGACCCCTGAGAGTGAACCAAACATTAAGGCGAATAAGGGAAATAGTCGCCAACTGAAGAATCTTCTGATTTTTAAACAAATTCTCGTTGTCAGTACCTTAAGATACATATAGAGAACAGTAGGGAGAATATGCATACTGATGTTAGGGTGTTAATGAGATAGGGTAGTACCTGATATCTGATATAAATCCTGTCAGCCGAGTGGCCATTCGTATATGGAATAAACGAACACACGGTCTGAGTGAACTCGAAACCAAAATTTCATAGCTTACGAATTTATCATTTAATATTTTCCTTATCTTTTTTTCTATCCTAGTAAAGATGAACAGTACCAACCACTCAATCACACTGCTAATTATTTTTTGATTACAAACCTTTCTGTTGAGAATTAAAGTTCTTTTGAAAACTTCCTTCAACATTGTTGACAAGATAAAAAAAACTGCTTTCATCGATTGACCACTTTCAACAGAATTGTATTTTTATGTTTATTAAGACCTCTTGCAGAATAAGTAACTG